AAAAATATACTTCCTACATATCGATTCTTCAGCAAATAAAATAATAAATACGTAAAAGAACTACTACTCTGAAAACTTAGCTCGATACGGTTGGGAGTGAAAAAATGCGAGCGAATAAATGCTGTTATCATTCAAAACCGAACGAAAGAGAGGGTAAGAGTGTACTCTCTGCAAGAGGTACGCATAATTGATATTTAAATAGTGAGTTTAAGACTGTGAAAAGACTTGGAAGATAATGTAAGGATCACAATCAAGTATAGTTACTTCAGGAGGTATGAGTTATCTTCGAGTGATTATGTTCAACGAAGACACAAGATCGCAGTCGCCCCCCTTTCTAAAGTAATGTAGGGAACGACTTCGATTGTGCTAATGCGGACACCTCACGAATATGATATAGAAATCTTGCAAATAAGTTTTAGTGAATTATCATTAGAGCAGCTTTCTTCACTGGGCTTTACTGTAAATATGTATGTTGTACTTTTGCAATTATGAGAGCCGTGAGTCAGCGCAGTCGCTGTTTCTTGATTCGCTAAATTATGTTGATGTTGCCGTACATCTCATAATTCTATCTGCTGCGATATTCGCCATTTCCAACTAGTAGAGAACAGCGAAAACTCCTAACGCCAACTCATCAGATGTTATACAACAGGACAAGAACGATAAGCGACTTGTAGAGTTTGGTTTCCGATCGTAGAGAGAAAACTTAATTTTTCAATTGACTGCTCAGTCCAAAGGACCACCTGTCGGAGAGTTTAGGTTTTGCTTAGATTGAACTGGCGACCGAATGATACACTAATTACGACTAAAGCTGTGTTTTAGGAACCTGTTCTCTTCCCAGATTAAAGTAGTCGGTTTGAACTTTTGTTCAGTGCTGATGAAGAGTCTTGTAGCGTAGGCTCTACCCGTAAACACTAGACACGCACAGCTTACTTGCTTCACCCTCTCTATGCATTCCCTACATTGTCCTTTGTCGGGCCTATATTAAAGGCTATAAGTCCACTTTAATAGTTATACTAGCAACATGGAGACCGGTCTCTTTTTTGCCACTTAAAACTTTCACATAACATGTTTGAAGATAACAATTCTTTTGTGCGTTTTACTTCCCTGAATGGAACTGGTAAGTTCGAACAACTCAGCTATATGATTTCCTGCAACGCTCTTATAAACCGGGGAACATGTTCAAAGTAATAGAGAGTTCTGACAAGCCATTGATAAAACGACACGCGGAGAGACTTGGAGCTGATTTGGACAGGGCTAAGTTTCGGAATTATGGAACTCTACTGCTGAATGTTCTATGGAAGAGATTCAAAACGGTTGGATAACGAAGCCAAGGCGAAGTGTAATCGATATGATAGACCGCTAGCCAATACAGCCTAAAACCCTAAAACACGTAACGATGTAAGAGAACCCAAGTACAGCATAACATCATTTTTCATATATATATGGGCCACTGATGCCTTCTTCACTCGCTCAGCTCTACAATAACTTGTTGTGCTACAAAATCCCCGAATACTTAGTGTTAAGATTTGGCGGTTTAGAAATCTCTCCCAGCTTTTGTTTGATCATTGCTTGCTAGAAGAAAGATCTCCATAAAAATTCCTCAAACCGGAGAACACAAATGACAACTGAGAAGATGATAGGGTGAGTTTAATAAGCTGTCGAGTATTCATCTTCAAGCCCTCCCATACAGAACGAGTAATATTTGCATTAAACCGAAAATAAAGAAGACTTTGTCATGTATATTAGGTGTAGTAAAAAGTTCGTTCGGTTTCGAGATGAAGTTATTGTTCATATTATATGGCGCTGAAAACGTGTTTATCACGTTCAAAGATGCACCACGCGTCGGGAGGCCTGTCCTCGAAAATTGCGATAAAATCATGGAAATAGTGGAAAAAGACAGTCACGTGAGCACTCATTTAATTGCTGAGGAACTGAAGATAAGCCAGAAAACCGTTTGGAACCCTTTGCCTAACCTTGGATTCAAAAAGAAGCTCGATGATTGGGCGCCACAGGAACTAACGCAAAAAAAGATGATTGACGGAATTTCCATCTGCGAATCGCTGCTGAATCGCAACAAAATCGACCCGTTTCTGAAGCGGATTGTGACTGGCCATGAAAAATGGGTCACTTACGACAACGTCGAAGGCAAACGGTCGTGGCCAAAGCTCCGAGAAGCGGCCCAGACGGTGGCCAAGACCAGATTAACGGCCAGGAGGGTTTTGCTGTGTATTTGGTGAGATTGGCAAGGAATCATCTACAACGAGTTGCCACCCTATGGCAAATTTTCTAATTGCGGTCACCCCTCAGCAGTGAATGTTAAGTCCTCTAAATGTATTTCTCACATAAAATAAAATTTGTTCATTCATATCAATCGACCGTTCGGAGACGGCTTAAAATATACTATAGGTCTCTCCATTTGTTGTCGAAACTCCAAGACGCACATCCACAGGTAAAGCTCGGCCGAAGATTTCTTCAGCGATTACATCGTTAACTCAATTCACCACTCTTCTTCTTATCGTTCTCAAAGAATTTTTTTTGGCACACCCTAATATTTTTCGCTACAATTTTTCTACTATTTACTTTGCTTTCGCTTCATTTAATAGTTTTAATGAACTAAATCTGGCCTTTCATTTCCCCCAATACTTTCTACACATACACACACACACACACTTACAAATAAATTGCTGCCTCTTCACCTAACAACGACACCGTGTCCCGCTAAGCCATGACCACTCGAGTTGAGCGTCAAATGAAAAATTTAGTAGCAAACAAAACATGAAGAAACAAAGAAAGAAAAGAAAAATTTTAAAAGCAATTAACAACATTTGCTGTCAGCTAACACGCGCATATATATGTATGTACATACATGGATATAAGTAGAAGACCCCTGCAGTGAAAAGCTCAACTAATCTAACTATTAGGAATTCTGGTTCGATATATATATATATATATATATTATATATAATATACTTTACGCTTTGAAAGCGATTTTAAGCCGAGCTCCTCCTTCAATTTATGGTCTTACGTCTTGATATTTTTCCAACAAATGTAAGGACCTGCTGTTAAACCAAGTCGCCTCCGAAGGGCTGATTATTTTTCATGAGGAACTTTTATTGTATGTCAGAAATACACTCGGTGGGGTTGACATTGCCTGCCGTCAGGGAACCAGACTCAACAATAACGTGACAGTGGTTTATTCTTTTAGTCCGTTCCACTCCAACTATCTACGTGAACTTTGCAACCGAGTAGAGTTCTTTTTCTTCATCTGCTACCCACGGTGGATATTTTCAGCCAGTCGCTGTTGTTTGTATCGTATCATCAAATTATGTCAATATCGTCGTCCTTCTATCTCCTTTAGGTCATCGTTCTATTATCTCCCGATTTCACCGTTACTAGTATAAAACGGTTCATCAGACTTTCGAAAAAAACTTAATCTCGAAACTGCTGAGGAGGATCCACCCTTCTCCACGATACAGCTGCACGGGAATGATGAGGGACCATCTAGATCTAGAGACTGATATTATTATATACACTTATGCTGGGGCCTCGGTAGTGACATTTTTCATTCGACCAACCGACACGAAGTTTTTTTCAGCGATTGATGCAGTACATGCAGTATCGAAATTCTCAATCTCAGCACAGGTATCATGACGATCTTGAAATATCACTTTGTTCCCGGAACAACAGCTGATATTGGACGACTTTCATGAAATTCGAATAGTCCCTGGGACATTCGGATCTTTACACCGGAACAAACCGGAGTTTTATCCACCCAAGGACTGTCACTCTTGCAATATTTCTCGAAAACCAATTCGGGACATATTTTTCGGCTACAACAACAACATCAGAGTCGATTCTGCGCCGTTTGCAGCAACTGACGTAGTTAACTGAAGCCGCTCGAACTTCCCAAGCAACATGGCTTCGCTCTATGGGCTCTTGAAAAGTTCCAAGAATATCCGAATTTTTTAGCCAAATTTTGTTTAGCGCTAAAACCCATTTCTGGCTCAATGGGTACATAAACAAGCATAATTACCACATTTCAGATGAACAGCAAGCTGAAGAGATTCAAGAGCCGCCATTTCATGCAGAAAAAAAACATCTTGTGCTTTGAAGGCAGGTGGAATCATCGGTGAGAACGTAACCGTCAATGACGACTGTTATCGACTATTTGATGCCTGAAACTGAAGCTCGTGTTCTTTCTCTTTAAGAATTCCGGGAACTTCGAAATGGATCACTGTTGATTAAATAATTTTTTTTTAAACAAAGTTTTTGTTTAAAAAGAGAAGAAACCCCAGGATATATAACGAGCATATACCAACTAATGAACTAGTATTTAACTGGTATTAAGCTGAGAATAATTGACACACCGTAAAGAATACTAGTGGATAACAACACCATGAGATGAAAGATTAACCAATTTGTTTAAAAATTGTGAAAATGTCAACAGACCAGCGGTGACCAATAAACAACTAGTTCCATTCCCTGCAGGGTATTAAGCACCAGAATAAAAAATTAAAAACTGAAAAAGAATAAACTCGAAATAAACCTATGGCCAGTAGCAGCATAGTAAATGCAGAGGAATTAGTTACAAGAAGACGACAACATGGTGAGCAAGGCCAACAAAAATACTATATTTTAATAAAATAGACAGTGCAAGGTTTAAGACGAATTCAACACAGCCGGCGGACATTTGAGGCTGTGACGAGTAAGACTCCTGACGAGTGTTGTGAAATAGATGTTTTTCTTTTTTCATTTCTCCTTTGTGCCTGCTGAATCAGTGAAAAAGTGCAATGAGAGTATCGCTCAAGCATTAAAAATAAAATTTTAAAAAATTTATTAAATTAATAAAATTATAAAAATTTGAATTTGATTGCAATATTGTTCGCGCAGAAATAATTCCTTGAAACGAAACATACATACATATATATGTGCGTACATGTACTCAATTGAAATATATTGCAACAAATATCATCGCCTTAAGTTGAATGCTGCGCTTTAAAATGCAAATACAAAAATATTTCATTTTACTCAACATATTTGCAACGCTGTCACAACACTGGCCGCGACATCAGGACCAACAAATTGCGACAATTATTGTGTCAGCAACATCAACAGCACGCACTGATGTATCTGTAGCCGTAGCTTCAGCTGGGGCTGAGGCCGAGACTGAGGCAAGGACAACATCCGCATCCGCTTTTGTTGATGAAGTGTTGCCGCATAATGACAGTGTTGCCACTACAGCAGCAATAACAAAAACAACAAATGCAACAATCTTGCATGTGAAAGACATTGACAGTAGCAAAAACAACAACAACAGCTCTAGCAACAACAGCAATGACCTGGCACGCAACAATAAATACTACAGCAATAAAAGCGGCAGCGAAAATGAGAGCGAAGAAGAGCTAACGCAGCTGATAGAGCGTAAATTACAGGAAGAACAGAAAACGGCATTGGCATCCGCATCGTTAACAGTGGATGATGATGCTGCTGCTGGTGCTGCCCGTACTGCTGCCGTACCAACATCGGTTCATCTACTCTCGCGCAAACGTCGTTATTTGATCTTTCCGGAGGGCAGCTCATTTCAATTGGGTAAGCCTCTTGCAAAAGTTGTCAACGTGAGCCGCCATGAGGCGCCACCGGGCACAACTGGGCATAGTGAATGCACTAATAGTGCAGCCGGCATCCTTGTCTACATGTCTCTGTATCTGTGTGTGTATGTGTGTGTGTGTATGTGTGTGTGTGTATGTTTGATGAGGTTGATTCAAAGTGCATGTAAATGAATTTTCAGATAACAAACTGTGAATTTTAAATCCAGAATTCAATTTCGTGTAATCGCGTTGCAGCACGGTTGAAACGTATGACAGCCGCCTTGAGGTATTCGCCAAAAAAAAATAAAATAAAATAAAAATAAAAATAAAAATAAAATAAAAACAAATAGTGCTCCACTTTTAGTCAGTCAATTAAGATTTGTGGTGGTACCTGAATTAAAGGTAATTGGCACAACAGAAATGTGCGCTAATGAGATTTAAAAAAAAAATGCTACATTAGCTGGACAACCTTTTTAACTGTGCTCGGTGGTCGCAGACTGCACCGAAGTCCCAGCCGAAAAACTTAAAAAACAAGAATTTAAGTGAGAAGCTGGAACATTTAACTTCCTTATTTATATCTCATTGCTTTTTGTTTTTTTTATTTTGCTTAGGTTATACTGAGAGAGAGTTTTTTTGGAGCTCTTACTTTTCAAAGTTAAATTCAGGCGGATGCAGTAGCTGAGTGGTCCGCGTGCTGCCATGCTCAAACCAACAACCAACAACCAAAACCTCTTCTAATAGCGCTTCTCGGCAGTGAATGTCAGCACCTCTAACTGTATTTCTGATATGAAATAAGAAAGCTCTTCACAATAGTCCATGAAGGTATCATCATTTGTTCAACAAGCGTGAAGACGCTCTAACTGGACGAAAGGCTCTGCTGAAAACGCTACAGATGTTATAAAAAGTCGCGGTCGGAACAAAATTTAATGAAGTGCATATTGGTCATTACCAATGACCGTAGCTAGATTTCAGCGTCTCTTCAGTCGCTCAATTTTTCTTTATCAAAAGAGTTTTGTAGAGAAGAAAACAATTGATAGGAAGATGGCGCAAAGTTTTGATTTTATAGTGGATGCAATGCAACTTCCCAAGCCAAGCTCCGTAAATTTTTGCTCGGTCATCAAAGGTGTAGATAAGGTGGAAAATAGTTGACAGAAGAGCTCAAAATTGAGCGTTTCGGCAGGCTGTATCAGCTCATGTGTATGATGGCCAATGACTCCGCTATCTTCTGAAGGCCTATATGCAGGTCTTGTCCCACTATTTGCAGAATTTGATCGACTTTTTTCTTTTTGGTGATTGACCGACTACAGCTAGATACTTTTTTGACAGCAAAACTTTCGGAACGCATCGAACAAACCACCTTTACGTCCGAAACAAACACGTATTTATGGTATTAACTGGGCTTGGATTTCACCATTAATAGCTACAGACTTGGTCAGCGCATCAGATTTTTCGTCTGGGAAAATGCTGATATGGCTGGATGCCCAGATATCGAATTTATCTGCCAGCGAGCTTAAAGCCACCTAGCTATCCAGCTATATAATTTCCTCCTTCGGTTTGGATTAACGTCTTTTTCGTTTGCCTCAGTATTGGTGATTGAAGGATGAGTACGTAGCGACATTAAAAGTTTCAAAGCGAAAGAGAGCAAACTAATGCAGCCGGAGGCGTTCAGGAGGGCAGTTTTTGAACCGTCAAATAAGATCTTAGGCTTTTCGCCACTACACGCTTTCAGGCAACGTTTCATCACTATAAATATTGCTGCTTGATCGCCCTTACCTACTAAATTTGTCTGACCGCTGCAGTGTTAATCGGCGTTTTGTAGCTGCTGAAGCGATTTTCAGCCGAGCTCCACCTTCCGATTGTAATGTGGGACGTGATGTTTTTTTTTCGAACAAATTGCAAGTTCTTCAAATTACTCTCAGCACCTTTGATCGAGTGATGAATTTTTATTTTTTATTTCATGTCCAAAGCACACTCGTGGCGTTACCAGCCACAGTAGTGGAGCAACCACAATAAGAAAAATTAATTCAGAAAAAATTTTCCGTAATTTTGGATGTTGGTCTGGCCACTATCCGAACCTGAATCGGCGAGCGCAAATGCATTCGACAGCTTCCGTGATGCCGGAATCAACGTCCAGAAGACCACTGCCAATAAGGAACTCTCAGACATTTCGAACCGTCCTCAGTTCATTTTCATTGATTTCAATAAGGTGTTCATTATTGCCTTGCTGTTACTAGTGATTTCCAGCATACATATTAGCTTATCTAACAGTAAATTTAATCAAAGTAAACTTTTTGAATGACTTATGTGTTTGAATTTCAAACCCGTCAACTTACTTTCTCTTCACTTTATCCCACTTTCTCACTGCACCACAGTTTATGACGGTATCTATGGCATCGTGGATTACACCAACTATCTTATTCTCGGCATTACCGTTGCCTTGGCTTGGGAGTTGCCGAGTAAGCCGCAAGGTGAAGTCATCGAAGAAATTGCAACTCGATTGAGAGATCCCACAAACGACTTAAGACGCAACGACACAGCATCACAGATTACTTATCTGAACACGAAAAAGAAATCAAACCCTATCAATGGCAAACAGACGACACAACAACCGGTAAAGAGTTTAAGACCAAACTACATCAATCTCATGACATACACAAATCCTGCCATACGCAAAAGTGACTATAAATCATACTATACAAATGTGGCAGGACGACTACCAGCTGCTTTCCATGCGCCAATGCATCAGAAATATTATTTTAATCCTAAAGGAAGTAATATATATGATTACAACAAATATGTAAAATATCATATATTACAACAACAACAACGGCCTAACGACAGTTACTATCGTAAGCAGCGCTTGCCGTCGCATGCTGTCGGTGGCAACTATAAGGAAAGACCGAATGATTGGCGACGTAAAGACAACAACTATTATGTGCAGAGCGTAAAGAAGACAAACTACAACAACAAGTTGAGCACTCTTAAAGTGAATCCTTTCAACAAGTGGAGGCCGCAACAACGAAAGTCTGGAATATACAGTTACATGCCTCAAACACAAGCCGGCAGCGGTCAGTATCCTTGGTGGAATTTGGCATCGCGGTAAGTAAGAAAAGTGTGTGTGTGTGTGAGAGAGAGAGACAGAGCGTGGATGGAGGAGGATCATTGTGTTGGCAATTGAAGTTCCTTCGTGATAGAAAAATATGTGAAAAACCGGTCATGTGTAAACATACGTACAGACATACTCGTATGTAGGAATTAACGGCTCACTGCCGCTTTTTCGCCTTTCGTATTGAATTCAACCTTGTTAGGGGAGACTAATACATACATATTCGACCAGAAATAGTGAGTTATTGCTTCATTCATCCGGGTTTCATCATCGTACAGATTTCTGATCGAACATCATAGAGGAGGAGAACTATTAGCGATTTACGATGTTTGATCTCTGTTTGTCGAGAGCAAACTTTACTTTCCAGTTGTCTACTCAGTCCAAAGCCTCACTGGCTGCAAACTGTAGGGTGGGATCCCAGACACGAGTGCCCTGAATATTTGGCTGTATCATTTACTATCGAACCCATTTGTTTCACTTCCCTGCCAAGACTGCAGAAAGCAGATCTAACTGTGCGGTTATTGAAAGTAATGATGTTAATATCATCTACTAAGCGGCCTCCGAACGGCTGATGGTTTTTTACGAGCAGCCTTTATTTTATGTCAGAAATACACTCGGGAAAGTTGACATTACCTGCCGAGGGGTGACCGCAATTAAAAAATTTAGCTTTTTTTTCATTAAATCAACACTTTTGGATGTTGGTCGTACCAGTATTTGAGCTTCGGCCCTCCGAATGACAGTACGCAATACGAACCACTCGGCTACCGCGGCCGCCAGCATTAGTGAACGTTAAAGAGTTACTTAGCATGATATTACCATATTAGTACCAATTCCCTGGTCGGACGAAGAGACACAGTTTTAGAAATTCATTTTCTCAGTCGACAAATAAAATCAACTCCTGACATTAAATAAAAACTCGTCATAGCTCTAAATGGGAGAGTTCATAGAAAACCACTTGCTATCGACATGAGCTATAGATAGCTTTCAAGCATAACTAACCGGAAAGTTGGACTCGACTCTTCAATGGTAACTGCAGCCATAAGCCATTCAGATGTGTAGAAGTTTTAAACAAACTCTCTATTGCTTCCAAAACGTGCGTGATTTGTGTTCACGTACATAGAAATATCCACAGAGACTTTGAGGACAACGAGCATGCTGAATAGAGACGATAAACTCTGCACACGATATGGGCATACGACTTTACTCTGCCTAACATCGGCCTTCATCAGTAAGGTCAATAGCATATGACAGGGCGAAGCCACATTCAATATTACCACACAGATAAGACCACTGATCGATGAGGAGAGAACTAAGTCTGTACTTTTGCTAAACAAGTTCATATACAGACCTAACTATAACGCGGTGATTGGCGCACTTTTGTGGATGGGTCATACTAAATTTAGTATTCAATCTACAGGCAAGTACTCATCGAGCCAGAACCAAGCTTTGCAAAGAAACTGTATTATGCACTTGGTCATCATTTTATTCCCTCTGTAAGTCGTCCCTATTTTTAATAGAATTTCAGCAATTACCCATGTTGATCAGCTTTCCAGGTTCTTCGTATTATCGGAACATGTTTCTTCTTTCTGAAAGTGCATCTGGCTTACCTCTTCAGCTCTTAATATCTATTGAGCTCCGCACACGTTGCGATCAATCGCAAGGTTTCGCAGATAACAGTCTTTCTATCTATCCGCTTCAGTTCGATATTGCTTATCGTACCAGCTCTCTTTCTACCATTTTCGGCGGTAAGTGCTCTCAGAAAGTAGGTGTACAAGTCGAGTAGAAAACCGACTGGCTGTCTGTTGGACTAAATTTTCGACATCGAGCTCTGATAGTGCCTCTTGATGTGCGTAGTTTGCAACACGGTGTTAGATCGTTAATCCACCGGGATGAATGCTCTAACACCGCGATGGTATCTCTCTTCCATTGATTGCCGGGCTCATCATGAAAAGAAAGATAACTCATCCGAACCTTACTTTTATAATTTTTCGTCTATCCATGCACAACCGAAGGAGTTTCAACTTCTCACTTTAGCTCGTATTCAAAGTGATGTTTGTTGGCTACTCAGAACTTCTGGTCTTAAGTCGTGAGTAGCTTCGACCATATGTAATGGGATCGTCTGGCCACTTCCGGGTGATTGGCAGGGAAACCCTTACCCCACTTGCGTGGTTTTCTATTATTATTTTGGGGCTATAAGACGCTTTACAGATACGTTTGTCATATGATTACGACACTCCCAATGAGTTTCTCAAGCGATGCTCTACACAAACAACTTTTTTCATTTCAAAATATATTTATGTGCCGCGATTTTAGAAACTTCAAATACAAAAAAAAAATATCAGCCTAAGCCGCTATGAACTATTCCGATGTAGTCTATGGAAATTTAAAAAATTGTCCGTTAAATTCATAAATTTTTATAAGCAATTTGGTTTTGTTTTTTCTTTTCTTCTTTTATTCGTTTTTCAGAATATCGAATTCATTGCGTAGAAAACCAATTCCCTCAAGACGTATTGACACTGTCAGTAGTGGAAAAAGTCAGCTACTGCAACAGCAGCAGCAGCAGCAACAACAGCAGCCAAAAGAAAAACATCCAACTAAGCAACAACAAGCCGCATCCGGATTTTATCAGCATTCAACTGGCACAGCACGGAAACATCGAATTTATCCGGTTTTCGGTAAGCGCAGCATAGCAGATGAGCCTGGCATGGCACCGGACCTGGCAACAGCTGCAGCAGCATCCACTGCGTCGGCATATATCAAGGCTAGCAACAATAACAACCATGCAAAGACGAAGCAGCAAGAATCAACAACGCATCATCGTCGTTATCGTCGTCGTCGTCGCAGCGGCATCATTGGCACCAAGTTAAGTCACATGGAACGCATTCATGTACGTCATCATCGGAGTACAAGGCAAACGCTCTACGGGAAGATTGAAAAGTATCTAGACAAGTAAGTGACATTCATTCATTCGCAGCTGTACATACACATGAATATATACATATATGCGAGTCTACCTAACATATTTACCTTTCTCGCCTCTTTCACCGCCTCGACTCCGCCCTCCTACGGCAATGTGTTAGTGAGAAATGTCGTAAACGTGCTGTTTGAAATAACGATACATTTGCAAATATAGAATTTTGTTGTGGAAGTAGGAGTTCCTACGTTTGTATGCCTGAATGAGTGTCGCAGAAAATTGCAAATAACTTCACTGTAGAGTAAAGACAGGAACGAGATTACTTTCAAGTCGATACATGGCATTAAGGTGATTTGTTTGAACTGCATGCCGGTATGTTCGTTCTTAAAGTCATGACTTTCGTGCTGCTATTAGACTAGGAATATATAATATATACAATATTATATAAACACGTATATTACTAAAAGGTAGTTAGATGTTGAAATAGCGTTACGGTAAACGAAGTTTATAAACATCTTTCTTTAGGTACTCTGTCTGGCAATTCATTAGCTTTCAAATGAAATCCGTTTTCAGTACACCGATAACTATAATCGATAAACTATGCTCCAATAGTTCCCGCGACGTTTGGACGAATTTTTAGCCAGCCAAGGACTGTCACTCCCGCAATTTTACTCGGAAAATCAATTCGGTGAATATTTTGTGGCTATAACAACAATAACATCATCGATAAATTAAATATCGTTTTTGATATATTTAAATGCGCAGCATAAGCATATTTTAAATATAAAAATTGCAGTCGGAAATGAAAAAACGAAGAATTTGTAGGCCAAATGAGAGTTGGTGCTCAGGAGAGTAATTCTCTTTAGAATATACGAAATAAAGGGTGTTTTTATTTAGACATGTCGCTTTCAAAAAAAAATAAAAGGGATATAATTTAATGTGGTAATCAGTAATGCACTTTTAATATAAAGATAAAGTTTCCCATTATGCCCAATTTTCACCCACTTTTTGCAGAGATTGGGGCCGCATGTCAGCTATATCCCGCCAAGTATTCTGTTCCAATCGTCTCGAACTTAGCTGCGTTGACAAGCAACTTTACTTAACCCCACAAAAAGTAGTCCAGCGGGCTTAAGTCGCTCGATATTGGAGGTCATGCCATAGGCCCGCTACACGAGATACCGCACACCCCAAAAGATTCCTTCAGTGGTTTGATTGTTTCGTCATCTTATTGGAACCAAAGATCGTCCGCATCAACATCCTCTATTTTTGAAAAAAAAAAACATGGGGCAACGACAGCCTCTATCCATAGAGCAGACCAAACATTGACATTTTGGGGAAGTAACGGGAATTATCTTCCTGCAAGTGCGACAATTTTCAATCAAAAGTCAACTCCATCGCTGAAGAAAGTTTTCTGGTAAAATCGGGATCGGTGTTAATTTTTTTTGGACTCAATCACCGACCGCGCAACGCGGTTGGTGGTCTTTCGTCTTCAATTTTTGCACAACTAAGATTTTGAAGAACCCCAAATCAAGAACCATCCGTAAAATCTTGAATAAAGTGGATGGGCATGGACGGTCGGATCTTCTTTTATACTTCACTCCACAGCAGCAATAGCGTATTCGATTCGGAGCACACTGTAGGGCGTTCCTAAGGATGGGCATTACCCACTAGAGTAAACGCAGTGCGAAACCAATTCATATACATAAATATGCATGCGCATTGATGTTTCTCCAACAAATGGATTTTTGGATGATAGATTTTTCTGGGGAGCTTTTATTTTGTGCCAGAAATACAGTCGGAGTGGTTGACATTCTATAACGCTTTGGATATTGCTCGCACCAGGATTTGTATCCAAGCCTTCCGAATGGCAGTATGTATTGCTATCCAATCAGCCACCGAGGCCGAAAAGTAGAACTTAGGTAGGTCGAGGAAAACCATACACAGACTTATAGCCACAAGCAATGGAACAATTCCCCTTCTAGAAGCATAAGCCTGACCGAAAAGGAGTCACCATTACAACACTTTGTCTGAATTTGGTATTCCCACAAAACCTAAACGGCTGCGTAAACTGACGTTGAGGAACAATGAAAACTCTGCCAGAATTGCTAAGAATCAAGAGGCTCTCTATCGTTTGACTTTTATATATAAAAGCGTTTGTTCTAAATGACCGACGGATCAACCTACAGCCTCCTTAGCCATTGATCGTACAGTCCTGAATTTTGGAATGTGCGTTCGACGTATGACACATGCACCCGGTAAGAAAGGATTCTCCGGAAGTGGATCTGAGACGGAACTTTGCAAAAAAATCGAATTTATTTTTGAACCGTTTGATTTACATGAAACTTGTTACCGATTATAGCCGAATTTATATTTTTATTTTTTGTGCACTATTTTGGCGCCAATTGGATATAGAAAGTTCAGCCACTTCCTTCTCTACCTGATCTTTCCAACATAGTGGAGGTCTTCCTCTTCGACTGCTTTCACCAGCGGGTACGGCATCGAAATATAGATAGCTCTATGTAGAAACTTTCGTTCTGGGACTGATTTATCTGGAAAAATCGGACTTGTATTGTTGGTTTGATTTACTTGAAATGAAATTTGGACCGTAGAAAGCTTTTTACCTAGGCTAATACAAGTAATATGTGGAGAACTGCTCTGCTTTCTCCAGTTTGAATAAGAATACGAAGCGAATGGATCTGGTAATAAGAGAGGACATGAGGTAATAAAGAATAGGCCTTTCGCACCTCGACTAACTAAACCTAAAAAGTGCAAGTCCCTCTTCACTCCTGTCACACTGTACGGCATAGACATCTGAAAGATGATAACAAGTGACGAGTTGAGCTTAGGAGATTTTAGAAGAAATGTTTTTTGTTATATATTCAGTACTCTTTGCGAGTACACCAGACACTGAAAACACTAGCACTCTGAGCAATATGCACTGGTTGAAGCAGAGTATGAGGTAGAGCTCCACTTCGATGAAAGTTTCAAGCAGAATAGGATCCGGCTTTACTTGGTGTCTCCAAACGGCGCTGAACGGTCAAAAGGAGAATTATTTTTTTTTTTTTTGTGAAGTTTTAACTCGTATGCGATGTCAATTTAATTGACTACATTTGAAAATCCTTATGAAATCGCCTCACATCTGCAAACTACAACTAAATGCGCATTTAATTCATATTATTGAGTGATGTAGTATTTTGTCCAACAACTAACAGTAAGTCAGCTTTAAAGAAGTTTTTTTGATATTAAGGGGAAATAGTATGTCGGATATAAAAGAATTAAGTAATAATCAAACCGCTCTCCGAGTCCTTGGCCTAGTTCAAAACGATGCAATGTTAAATAAGAGCTCTGCAAAAGTCTAGAAAACACACTCACATTCATACGCTCTGCATTAAATCCACTCGCATACATATGCATATATCAGCTGAATTTAAATTGGCAATCAATAACAGATTTATTTCACACAAAAAGATAAAAATATTTGAAACTAGTAAAATGCAAAAGTACATACACATTCAAATGTGGGCCTGGACATATGTACATATTTAGAAAAAAATCAGAACTAAACTATTGTACATGCATACATATGTGCGTGTATGTATGTAGGGGAACAAATACATGTGTACATTATTGACCGTAACTTTACTGATCTTCAAACATTCCAAGCTACACAAACTTTACTTTGATTAGTATTTATATACATACATACCGTCCATAAGTTACATATAAACACATACATATGTACATATATAGATATGTTGCATATATGCCAGCTGCAATTACAATCTTGTATTTTAAGTGAAATTCGAGTAGTTGACCAAATGACAAAAGTTGAATATGAAATTTCTATTACCTCTATACATATATACAAACACATATATACTTGTTTGTACACCTAATCCAAGAAACATACGAAAATCTGCAAATTGAGAATTAGCATGTTCGGCGAGCTATTAGGTAGTAACAACTATTACAAATTGTTACTGGGCCATATTCGGTGAGGTAAAAAGCCAGTACAATTTGCAATGGCAATGCATAATTTTGGCAGAAAAGTTGGGTAGGAAAGTTGCAAATTCTTGCTAGAAAAATGTTGTCCATTAAAAATTAGCTAGTATCTTTGGTCACATTGTTCTTCCCTTCGGCCGGGTCAGCGTTATACCGTTGTAAGTCGATGATATTGATAAAGATGTGAAGCAAATGGATCTGGTGGTGAATGAGGACAAAACTAAATATTTACTGTAATGAAATAAACCGCTAGCGCGTTCATGACGTGGCTCCACGTCCCTGATGGCAGTCATCACTTCGAATTCATGGATAACTTCGTCCATCTTGGAATCTGTATTAACACCAACAACAATGTTAGTTTGAACATCCAGCGCTAAATCACTCTTGCCAACAGATGCTACTATGAACTGGCTGTTAAAAAGAAAAGTCCACTCACAGAGAAAAATAGACTTAACTTTATAAGTCACTCATTATTCGCGCGCTACTGTATGGCACAGAAGGACACAGTCTACATGTCGTACGTCGGAAGTGGACTTTACCAAACAATTACCTACTCAGACCACAGTAACACCTGTTCGGAAAGTATGTAAATGTACGTTGGATGCCGAGGCATCTACAACTTTAAAGTTATCACTGTCAACAGTGATCTTCGAGCAATGACTGTTTATTTGATGGCCTTGTCCCCGTTCATTACCGGACCTAATCGCTTCCCTTCCTTATACAGTCTGGTGAAAGCAGAACTAACGGCTACGTTTTTAAGACCTTTTTGTCTCTATCTTCATAACAAGGTCGATCTGGTTGCGAGTTTTTCGATCCGGTGTCAGCAACGTAATTTGACGAATTTTCTTATACTTGTATATAACATTACAGATAACCATATTTTGAAATGATATTGTAATGGACAAGTGGCAAATTCTTAACTAATAACATTTGTTACACACAAATATTCGCCTTCCACAATAATTGTTACGTTGCAAATGAGATTTCACTTCACGCTTATCAGCTGTCATTTCCATGAAAGAGTAAAGCTACTAAGCAACTTTACAATTGATACTGCCAAATGGCATTGCCATCATAATATCAAAGCAAAAGACCAAAGGACATACACTCATATGTACACACATCCATACATAAGCCTTTATATGGCATCAAATCGTTTTTCATGTGAATGCCTTAAAAGAAAGAACGATAAATACAACGCCAGTCACAATTACTTAAAATAATTGCTTTAGAAGGGGCTTAAAGGAGTGTCATCAAGAAGAAGAAAATATTTTGAAATCAATTTCCTGTTAATTAAGAAAAGGTGAAAAATAGTAGAAGTAATGACTTATGAGTAGTAGTGGTTGAAAGAGAATATCTGAAAGCTCTCCTAAACGTGTAGAGGAAATTATCACTAACTATTTTCAACTTACGTATTTACCAAAAAAAAATTATTATATTTGTTCGTTTCATTCAATATTCAAGTTCTTTTCTATATATTTTTTACAGACTTGGTATTAAAAACAGTCATCATTGCTTACTACGCGCTCTCTGCGAGACAGGGCAAAAATCCAACGAAGTTCGTCCTGGCACTTTTGTGGGTGAATTAATGCGTGCGGTTTTCACAATGCCTGAACCATTGGATGACGATCTACTAGAAAACCGTGTACATTACAAAGATCAACGCTTTGATCTGGCTAATGCTTTCAAAGGCGCCTGCGCCCAAGAATACGGACTTTGTCGAGAATCATTATGGAAATCACAATTTGTTCAATAAAGGAGTATGGATATGGAAATTTAAATGTTTTTTTTTTTTTGAATATCTTTTTATTTCATTATTATTATCATTAATCATTGTTTGCGATTATTTCACTGTTTTTGTCCCATTAGCCAAGCGAGCATATTAAATGGACAAGCTGATTTTAACTCACGATCACATTTCTCAAAATCTGCCTGTGCAATGCGACTGTATTCGTCCTGGAGGCCAGTTTTAGTAGGAAAACTTTAAAAAAATATATAAAACATAATATTGAACGTTTTGCTGAAATTGCAATAAATATATTTATTTTATTTCATTATTTTTTACTTGATCTTGCTTTCTTTCGTTATATTTTATTTTAAATCATTTAATATGTTTTTATTTTATTTTATTTTATTTTGTTTTATTTTATTTTATTTTATTTTATTTTATTTTATTTATTATTTTTTTTATTTTATTTTATTTTATTTATATATAAATATATATATTTTTTTTAATTTCTACTTACGTAAACATCACTCTTAGTATATCCTGAGCCAATGAATATCCCGGAGGCATCAGAAATCGCTTACAATCACAGATAGCGCGCAAAACGCATGATTTCAAATCTATGCCTAAGCTGTAATGTATTAAAACTGCTAGTTGGATCGCTGAAGGATTTCTTTCGGACACAAATTAAAAGCTGATTTCTCAACTCTGTACTTACATATCACTCAAACCAGTTAACTGATGATATAAATGTCTTCGGTCCCTATAGTTGTGATAATGTTTCCAATCATAATGTTCTTCTAGTTCAGGAAAATGCGCATACATCGGTTCTATTTCTTCAAGCTCTTCTAAAACATCAATTGAGTTCAGCTCAGGCTTTGCTGCTTCAAACGCATCTACCTCAACATTTTCTATTTCTTTCAGTTCACTGTCGCGCTTCCAGCGACCATTTCTCGTCCTCATCCCACCCGCACTACCCGCTTGAACCCATTGTTGCCATTTATCAGCCTTTTGCTGCCATTTCTTATTTGACGCCCACGGCAATGGCGTAGTGGTCCACTTAGTCCATTTGGAATCTTGTGACAACCAAACTGGTTGCTTATTCGTCCATTGCTTTGTAGGTGTCCAATCATAACGTTGCGCATAATCCGACGCACCATACTTGGACCATTGTTGCCACTTATGCGGTTGTGTATAGTCCTGTACAGCTGCTGATGTAGGCTGTGCAACTGGTTTAGTATCTACCCATTGTAATAACTGACCAGACTCGTCGATACGTTGCACCTTTGCCGGTTTAGCAGCCGGTTTTGCTTTGTAACGTATCAGTGAACCGGGTATTTGTATGATGAGCGGTGTGGTAGGACCTTTTGGTTTCGGTTTCGGCGTGGTTTTCGGACGTAAGCGTTTAGGTATTAAATCTAAGCGGCTTGTAATCATTGGATAATAAAGCGCTGCCTCGATATTAAAATTAAATCCACTTGGTATTCTTGCAAGTAATCTTTTACTTATTTGCATAGTGAATTTGAGACGCGTCTTTGCGGGAGCGAGTAGAAAACGTTTCTTACGTGAAAAAACACGTTCTACGATCGGCCGTAGTATAGTAGTGCCGGTGCCGGCATCAAATTCGCTGCGTTGTGGGTTGGTACATGATTTCACCTTGTCCTTCAAAGCGGTGCCATTTGTTAACTGCACTTTGGCTGCTGTGGTTTCTATTGAAGAATTTGTGAGTTTTAAATTGAAATTGGTCGCGTTTAACGTAAGGAATAATGCCAATAAATACACAGAGTGGTATATACGAGTTATTTTCATTTTTATTAATTTTTTAAGATTTTCCAACTATTTGCTTTGAAATATACCTTTCGTTGGACCAGTAAATCGAGACTATTTGCAGTTAAAAATTTCTACAAGCAACGAGCAAAGAGCGACTTGGAAATATTTGTAACAATTTTTCAGTAAATAATACATTGTCGCTTGTACTGATTTACATAAGTAAATCAATAATCTATGAATTACTTTCTTAATCATCTTATTAATCCAATTTGAAATTGTTTATTCTTATTTTCATTTCTCCATCAAACATTTGCGCTGGTCTCTAATTGAGCCATCATATTTCACTTAACTCTCTTTTTATTGACACAGTTTATTGACAGCTCGTTGACATTTCTCTTTCAAATCAGCCAACCAGCGAAGTTGTCTACAAATATTTATCACTCATGTTTAATACTCCCATAACCCAAATACATATTTTTTCCCCAAAAAAAAAAAACTATTTATTTAATAGAAAGCCAGACGCTGGTAATTGCTTCTACTCAATCAGAATTTTAAATACTCTGTTAGTCTCCCTTCGAACTCTGATTGAGGCATTACGGCAGCCAATATGTCAGTACTAAATATTACTTTTATATTCGCTGCATTGCTAGTCTATCAGTCGAAAGCTTTAATTTATCCGGAAAAATCTACCTCTCTGGGTGTAAGTAGGCTGCCAATCTTCTTCGCGCTACACTTTCTTGATATGTGATACTTTACATCACCAACGCTCCTTACATTTTCAGCTCGTACACTCCGTTTCATATCCGGTAGTTGAATACCTTCCCGATCGTAGCATATTAATTGATTGGTGTTTTCAAATGTCCTACACATTACCCGGCACTGTTTCGGCTTTTTATAACATACCCATTTGGCCGGGTATACAAAGTCCGAAACAACGTTACGCACGCTCGTACAATGAAAGCGAAAGTCCCGAAGTGCAAAGGCACTTGCAATGGTTGGAAAAATATGATCGTAAAATAAATGTAAATCAGCATCCAATGGATTTAACAGCTGGTGAGCTGTATCAAGGCATTGAGGATTATTTTTCCAGGTATGTGATGTATGTATATAATGAGGCAGCTTAATGTTTATATCACAACTGTGATGGCTCCGAATATAATTAGTGATTACGTTTAATAATACTAAAGAGACATATCTTGAAAGTAAGTTTACTGAGGCTCGGCACGGTAGTGTAGCCAGACTTCTGCCCTCGCAACGACATCGGTTCGAGGACAGTACGTTGCTTCTAGAAAATAAGGTGCTTCTAATAAATCCGCCATTCGCATGACGATGCAGAATAAGTGGAGATGCTTACTGACAAAAGGAGTCTCCCTGCTGTACGACAATGCCAGACCACACACGGTCAAGCTCGCGACGTAACTGCTCGCATCGTTTGAATGGGATATACTGAATCATTTCGTGCATTTCCCCGATCTGGCACCTACAGATCACTGCCGGAAACTGCATATGGCTGGAAAAAGGTTTCAAAAAAATAGCTTACTGAGTTTCAATCTGGATATGCCTGTAAGGAGAACATCTTGAAAAGTGCTCCGAAATTCCTTGAAAAATATTACGAAACACTCATCTAATGTATTATAGCTTCCATACTATAGGGTGAGCCTTCAGCCGTTTGCTTTTGAACATTTTTTTGGATAAACTTTGGAACGAGATCGTCCAGTGCGTTCAGGGGAAAACAACGCGAACAGCCATCGACAGGAATTAGAACCTTTCATGCCCTTTTTTGTTCATGATTTTGTATAAAGACCTCGGTACGAAAGCAAAAAAGTCTCATTGGTCTAAGGACTAAAGCTTTATGAGATCGTTCTATTCTGAAATATCATCATTTCCAAATAAGCTCATTCTCTGTTGGACGGTTGCGTTAACAAGCAAAACTGACGCATTTTGGACCTTGAAAACCCACACGTAAACACACTGGCGGTCATGATGGTCGAGTGCTTAGCATTGCGTACTGCCATTCGAAAGATCAGAGTGCGAATCCTGTTCCGATAGAAATCCGAAATTTAATTTTTCTAACTATCACCGCCCCTCGACAGGGATTGTAATGTCAGAGGCGGTTAAGAATAAACTATAGATCCGAGAACAGCTTAAGGGGTTATCCAGCGAGAAATATATGTATATAAGCACATCGACGGTATCAATGGTCCATTTCTCTTCGAAAATTAAGGAAGAGCTGCCGTTACCATCAACAAGCCGATTGCTGCCATTACCTGCTCAGTTTGAAAATGTTGAAAAGAACGACAAGTACGGTGTGTGGTCTCAATAGGACGGCGCTGTATACCTCTTAATCAATAGTACAATCAATCGTTTTCGCACTGTGTTCGAAAACCGTATAATTAACCGATGCGGCGTTGTTAACTGGCCTCCTCGCAGCTGCTGTTTGAAACTGCTGGATCATTTTTAATAAGAAGCCGATAAGATTAATTGCTTTGCCAACTAATGACATGAGACATGAAATCGGAAATGTGTTGACGAACTGAGTACATAAACAGAATAAACTGGCTACTGCAAGGTCATATGAATGAAGAGGGGTATCATCATCAAACGAAGGCATTTCGGCAAATCCATCGGAATTTAAACGCTGATTTTTCATAGCCCTTCTTGACGGGATGTCGTTCCTTTTTAAAAAGAGGCTCACAGAGCCCCAAAAACGCCCATCACTTATTCAGAGTTTTGCTTTATCCTTATAGAGGTTTTTTACTTAGTCGTCTCTAGCTCAAGTTGGACAGTATATAATAGAAACGTCGAATGAATGTCTATTTTGTTCGTCAACTATGGTTTTCGTCGTCAGTTCCAACAAGGTACTAAGATACTAATAAAGATATTGAAGAGCCTCTGTCATCTCAAAATCAACCTCGTACACAGAGCTTGAAATTGTTTCGTTATTTTTATTTATTATAATAAGAATTGATATTTTTTTCTTTTACTTACTTCATAGTTTCGATATACACGAAACGTGTCTGCTTCGCAGCGTTTGCGAATTGGCTCAACATCCATTCGATGATGATCATCATACGATGTTGACGGAGTTGCTCACATTTATGCTGACGTAAGTGAATTTCTGTTAAATACATACAAACTCGTATAAAGAAAGTCAAATTAGAAACAAAATTTATTGAATAAAAATATCTCTTACAGACCTTCTCTCCATCAAGGATTTGCCAAGCATGAAACTGTGTATCGAGAAGCGTACGAGGCGGCAGAGCTTCAAGGCTTTCTGGGTGAAAATTGTACAGCTTTATATGCCGACTGTCAGAAAGATATATTAAGTGTTGTTACCAAAATTATATTAATAAATGATTAATTGATTAAAATGACCTCAATATTAAATGGCTTACAGAGGGCGACAAAATTTGACAGAACGATATTTTCCAAGTTTTAAAACTTGAATTTTGAGTATTCATGACAGTTTTGGTGTTGCCGACATGAAATCCGATGACAATTTTTAAATTTACATTTAAAATGGCGGATCCAATATGGTGGAAGTTTTTTTAAAAATTGTTTGAATTTGCCCAAAGCTTGTTCCTCGGCGGTTTTTGGAGTTGCTGATTACAATCGGATTTCAGGTCAGCAACACTTCTTCCAACGTAGTGGATATGTTTCTTTCGTCTGCACCTACAAAGGGGTACTTCTTGAAATACTTTCAAAGTTGCAGCGTTTCCAACCATTCAAACGACAAGACTTGACAAACGTAGGCTCTGTCTCTTTATTCGTTGAACTAGTATATCAATGCAACGATACTTTGAAGAGATATAATCTTTCTTTATATGAAACTTGTAGTAAATTCCGCAATTCCATCGCATTTTTTGAATGGCAGTGATATCAACATAAGTTTTCACAAGCTAGAGCACCTTCCCAATTAAGAGACCGGGCGTTATAATCGTTATCGCCCTGCAATCCTATCGCGCTTACGCAAGTTTTTGGCGATACTGCGTGTCGTGAAAGCATTGCATCCCACCCGGGTTCATCTGTCAGTCCTTTCGGATATTTTTAGCTGCAATGCGTTTTGCTATAACGTGGAAATTGATATTTTTATGTGGTTTACCGCGAGGCTAGCTATTTCAGCAGCTTTTCCAACCTCGAAAACTTTCGCCTGGAAGCTTAAATCCCTTGCGCTTACTCCGACATCATTTTTGATCCGTCCATGTAGATGTTGCAAGTTTGACTGGTAACATACTACTGTTCCATCTACCCTCTTTTACTTAGTATAAAAACTTTGTTTCCCAGATAAACGGTGCGGGTATGTGATCTATTTTGTTACCCTGATTATCGAGTCACGTTCAAAGGTTTTTGTAGAAAATTCATCAATCTTACAACTGATTTCGCAACAAAGCTTTCACCTACAATGTCGATTGGTGGCTGGTTCCTGTAAGAGATTTCGATGGCTCACCAAAACCGTAAAGTAAAATAGGCTTGATTAGCGCTGCATAACTCCAAAACATAAGTCCAGGCGATATACGAGGTATGTTCAAAAAATATCGCGTATTTTGTGTTTTTTCAAAAATTATTTATTTATTCAGGAAAATCTATTTTGTCCCCTTCAAAGTAATCCCCATGAGATATTATACATTTGTGCCAACGGTTTTTCCAATCTTCGAAGTCTTCAAAAAATCATTTTTTTTTATCTTGTTCAGCTCCTCGAAGCCGTCATTATCTCGTCAATCGTAGCATAACGTCGTCCTTTCATGGTCCTCTTCAGTTCAGGGAACAAGAAAAAGTCACAGGGGGCCAGATCTGGGGAATACGGTGGCTGCGGCATCATTAGTGTGTTGTTTTTGGCCAAAAAGTCGCGCCCAAGCAACGATGTGTGAGCAGGGGCGTTATCGTGGGTGCAAAAGCTAATTTTTGTTCTTCCACAAATCCGGGCATTTCTGGCATATTGCTTCGCGCAAATTGCGCATAACTTGCAGGTAATATTCCTTATTGACCGTTCTACCTTGTGGCAAGAACTGCACCACGCTACTGCAATCGAAGAAAACTGACAGCAAAACTTTCATCTTCGACCGAACTTGGCGCGCTTTTTTCGGTCTTGGTTCGTGCGACAGCTCTCATTGAGATGATTGAGCTTTGGTTTCCACGTCATAACCATAAACCCACGATTCGTCACCAGTTTTGATCCTCTGGAGCAATTTGGGTCCTCGCGGACAGAGTCCAACATCTCTTTAGCAATGTTCATGCGATGCTGTTTTGGTCACAATTGAGCACTTTTGGTACGAATTTCCCGGCGACCGGTCCCATGCCCAAATTATTGATAAATATCGAATGGCACGAGCCAATCGATATGTTTATACCTCAGCAATTTCTCTAACTGTGATTCGACGATTAGCCAATACCATTTTCTCCACTTCATTAATTCATCGTCTGTTGTTGAAGTGCTCGGGCGTCCGGCACGCTCTTCGTCGTTCACATCTTCTCGGCCTTCTGAGAACATTTTGTACCACCGATAAACGTTGCTTCGGTCCAAAATAGCTTCTCCGTATGCCACAGTCAACATTCGGAATGCATCCGTGATAGACATGAGTATCAACCTAACGCCACAAAAAAATCGAAATTCGATTATACGTAACCCGCGAAAATTCAAAATTCGCGATACTTTCTGAACACACCTCGTACATATGTAGAACCTAGCATCTTCCTACACTCGTACAGGGCACGATTATCCTTTGTCACCTTCACTTCCATATCAAGTTTATACATAAGCTTTCTGTCCCAATTGAGTTTCGGAGATTCACTCGCCGGGGTCGTGTACCTCCTTGTAAGAATATCTTGTCTTTTTTAGCGGCATGTGCCTCTAAGTTAGCCGAAGTCGCGCATCGGCGTATGATCCCTCATATTGCTAATTATATCTAGGAAAGTACGTTTTATATTATATTCTCATTAGAAGTTTCCAATGAAAAACATATCTTCCTTCTTCTTCTCACTCAGAAATCTCTAAAGCGCTTTTTCTATCTAACCACTCTTCGGAGGAGACCAAACCCTACAAAAGAGGTTTGTCAACGAAACTTATTGCTATTGGAATGAAAGAGGAAATACCAACATACTCGACTCGTGGCGTTTCTTTGATCAAACGCTAAAAATAAATATAACTTGAGATACTTAACAAATTGAGATCAAACAATATACAATGCCACCAGAGTCGATAATTAGATCAGCGATGAGCTAAGACCATTACCAACATATAATTTTACAATAAAAATAATAAAATATGAGTTTTCTTATTTCATGACACAGATTTCAAAACATTTAACAAGAGCGCAATTGCATAAGCCGGAGAACCCAGATTTTCTGTAAAAACTTTATGCAAATAACGTAACATCACTAGTCACATAATTGACACCACGTGTGAATGTTTGCGTTTGCATTTAGTGAATACTCGTATAGAACGTATTCCAACGGACATTATGACATACGATGAAATATACTAGGATTTCAGCAATTATTTCTTCGCAAGTGCCATTAACACATTCGTAGGTTTACCACTAATTGTCACTCACAAATATTCTGGTTTTGACATGTACCGCAATTTGCCAATTTATTAGCATCACACATGCGGAAGTCATAACCAATTTGGCGAGAAAAACTGTTGAAAACTTTTAGTATAACTGAAATCTGCTCTGCTGTCGTAAGTACTTCCCGCCCGACAGTCTCTGTTCAATCCAAAACCGTTGATCAATTATTCCGGCACTGAAATAAGAGTTTAAATTCACAACAAACTAACAGTTAGCAACATGTTGCCGGGCTATTTCGTCAACAATGTTTGTAGCTTAGCAATCGTTTGGCTTAGAATCATTGATTTGGCTGCTTCATATTTGCTTTATCCCAATGGCACCACCACTGTTTTGCAGGTAAAAATAGTATAAAGCGAAAAATGAATTAAATACGCAATTTTTATAATTTATAAATATGACCTTGAAATGCAAATAAAAGCTAATCATATTACAAAAAAAAATTAAGATAAGCATTGTACAGCATAAACAAAATTTTAAATAATTAAACTTAATTAAATTAGTTGAGATTAAATTAAAATCAACTGCAACTAATAAAATGCAATGAAATTAAATTTAAAAAAAGTAATAATAAAATAAGACTAAGTAAAATAGAAAGAGAGAAATTAATTTATGTAATGTCAAACAAGAAAGTAAACAACAATAACATTTAATAAATAAAAAAAACTAAATTAAGAAAATTAAAATTGAAAATAATAATAATTAGTACAGAATAATTAGAAATAAAAATAAAATCAATTAATAATATTTAATTAAGATAAAATGAAACAAAATTAAATTAAATTAAACTAAATTAAATAAACTGTAAATGCAAATAAGTTCTATAAATTTAATCATATTAAATAATTGAGCAAAATGCATAATTTTTAAATAAAACCAAAGGGAAATAAAAATGAAGCAAAATAAATTAAATTGATTTAAATAAAGTAAAAACAAATAAAATAATTGAAATAAATTGAAATCAAATAACACTTAACAAATTACAGTAAGTTATATAAATTAATTAGCTAAAGCACGACAATGCAAAATAAAAACTAAAATCATATAATGCGAAAAATAAATTATATTACTATTATATAAATAAAATAAAGAACATAAATGGAACAAAATAATATATATCCTACAAATTAAACATATAAGTAATATACAATTTTATAAAAATAAAAATTAGTATTAAAGTAAAATCTAAAGACAATAAAATAAAATTATATTAAAAACAAGCGTCTAAAATAAAAAAATAACAAATAAATAAATTACATTATATAAATTATGTAAACAAGAAATATACAACAAAAAAATAAAGATAAGTATTAAAGTAAGAAATAAACACAATTAAATTAAATAAAACTAAAGGCAAGCAAATAAAATTTAAATAACCAAATATTATGAAACAAAATAAAATGCATTATTTAAATTAAATAAATAAATTTTTTATCTTTTATATTCTATATTATATTAATAAAATAAAAAAGTAAGAAAAAAGTAAAGATAAAAAACTAACAAAAAATAAAATATAAAAATAAACAAAAAATAATAATTAAATCAATTAAAATATAATAAAAGAATATAAAACAATAAAGCATAAAATGGCACAAAACTAAATTAAAATAAGATATTTTTTCGTAAGTAACATAAATTAAATAAAACTAAATAAAGTTAAATTAAAGTCAACTTAAATCAATTAAATAAATAAATAACAAATATAACAAATAATTATAAATTAACAACTAACTATAAAATCGATTAAAAGTAAGAAATATTTTAAATTAAATTATGATTAATTAAAACATAGAAAATAAACATATACTTAAGTATTATAAATGTATTAAAATATATGAAAAATATAATGTAATTAATATAAGAGAAAATTAAATTAAATTAAAATATTTTGAAAAATAATATATGTACACAAACTTAAACTAAATTAAGTTAACCTAAATTGAACTCCAGCAAATTACACTAAATTAGATAAAAAAAATAAATAATAAATATGTAAATTTTTAAAAATAAAAATATGCAGTAATATACAATACAAAAGCATATAAAAAAGTAAATAATTAAATATAATAAGAGAATTTATAAATAAACAAATTTAAATATTGTATAAAAACAATAACACAGCTAGACTAATTCTAATAAAGTAAAATAAAATAAAAGGATATAAAGCAAAACCAATTGGAGTAAAAAACAAAATAAAATAAAATACTCAATCAAAAAATATAAATAAATATATTAGACTAAAGTAAAATAAAAATAAATAAAAAAAGCTAAAAAAAAAATTAAATATAATAAATAAATTAAAATTAATAAATTGGACTAAAGAAAAATAAAAAGAATTAGAAAACTAAAGAAATTAAATAGAAGAAATGTATTCACATAAAATAAGATGTGATAAAATAAAGTAAAAGAGAAAAATAAAAAATAAAATTAATAAAGCAAAATGATTAAAAATAAAAATATAAATAAGTAAGACTAGAGTAAAATAAATAAAAAATTAGACAGCTAAAGAAATTCAAAAATGAAATGGATTAATATAAAATAAGATAGGATAAAATAAAGTAAAAGAGAAAAATAAAAAATAAAATAAGTAAAGCCAAATTAATAAGAAAAAAAAAATAAATAAGACTAGAGTAAAATAAAAAAAATTAGAAAACTAAAGAAATTAAAAAAAATGAAATGGATTAATATAAAATGAGACAGAATAAAATAAAGTAAAAAATATAAAAATAATAAAATAAATTAAGTAAACCAGAATGAATAAGAATAAAAAATTAAATAACTAAATAAATTAGACGAAAGTAAAATAAGAAAGTAATATGTAATAAACCAAAGTAAAATTAAAAAAAGATAAAAGTAAAAAATAAAATTAAAAAAAAAATAAAATAAATTAAAGATATAAAAATTAAAATTATTTAAAATAATAAATATATGAAATCCTGCATTTTTTCAGATAACTGCATCGATTTCCGTGCCGATTGCGCATTTACCTCCAAAACGCAGCATACTCTGGGATTGGGGTATTCAAATGAACTATGAGCTGCCCTTTTTTCTTGAGTCATTTTACAACGTACCCATTTGGCCGACAGATCGTAGTAATGGTGGACGTCTACGAAGATTTACAGAGGCATATCAAAATTATTTTGAACCTTTGCAAAATAATAAAACATTGAAGAATTGGTTGGATGAAACGAAAAATAGGCATATATTCGATTTCACAGCTGGTGAATTATATAGAGCTCTGGAACGTTTAATAAAAAGGTAAGTGTGACGTTGGATGACTAATTCTGGTTTGCAACTACTTTAATATTCACAGCTATTGAGTCTTTAAGATTTGTTTTTTTTTTCCTTTACTTTCACGCATTTCTTTCTTTACAGTCATGGCTATCATCCAAGTTGTTTACTCCAGAGCGTATGTGAATTAGCCAAGTATCCTTTTGATGCCAACCATCGGCACATAATTACAGATATATTAACATTTCTACTAACGTAAGTATAATACATATTACACAAACAATTTATGAATGTAAATATGTTTATCACACATCTTGCAGACCTTCATGGCATTTGGGCTTCGATGCGAGTGAACACTCACAGCGTCGAGCTTATGAAGCAGCAGAAAAGTTTGGTATTCATGGGCGTAACTGTAAAAAAGTATATGAAAACTGTAGGAAAAGCTGGCTTCGGGATATAACTCATGTGATTTTTGATAATACTTGAAAATCTTCATTTATAATTAATCATATATTTAAACCTATGTTAAATATATTTTGTATAGCACTAATTTGTAGTGAGAATTTTTTCTTAATAAATATTTTACTACATTTTCATGTGTTGAGAAACCAATTGAGCCAAGAAGTTAGAGATTATTTTTTGGAAGTTGAAAAGATTTGGAGGATGGCGCCATGTGTAGAAGTCAACGCAAGTTGAGAAAGCCGTGATTTCAATACACCTAGAAGTGACCAGAAACGATTCTTAAGCAGACATACATATGATACAATAAGCTCACGACTTTCGTTCTTACACCAAGGGTCGTCTTGATAGCCAACTAACATCCGTACAGAGGCGAGCTAGGGTGAGAAAATGAACTCGCCGCGAATGTCTGCAGAGTTTGAAAAAGAAATAAAAAGTCTGATTCTAGGGGAAAAACTAGCAACAAACCTCGAGTGAGAGACTCCTACAAACGCCCCGCTGCCCAACTGGTGGCTGTCTTTGACAATGTGACCAAATCACAAAAAGGCAAAACAAGAATATTCAGTACAGCAAGCGGATAATTCAAGCCTGAGTCCATCTAAATCACTCGGGGTCGCACTATTATTATTATAGCACCATGGGGCTGTCACGGGATCAAAAGTCGCGCAACCAAATCGATCAAACCTCCAATATTATAATAGTGTGTACGCTCTAAAGACCTCACATAGACTCACTATCGTATCGCAGCACACATACCCACTAATCTATGTGCAGCAAAGATCGCCAGTCCACATACAAAAAGAAGAGCTGCAATCACAGCAGGCAGCCAACTGTTTTGTCACTCGACTTGAACGCCTGTTTTCTGAGAGCACCCATCAGCAATTCGATACAAGGGAACCTATCGTCGCTAGAGAAATAATTGGTTTTCGAGTATGCCGGAATAGAAGCTCGTACGAATGAAGATTGTAAAACTGCAGAGGCGAGCATTGAAGTTTTAAAGCTTTCGGATAAGAGTAATGTTCAAAAATTCTATAAAAGAATGAGACGACTTACAGAAGATTCCAATATCGGAGCATATTCGTTTAGGAATCAAAGAGGTTAACTAGTGACCGATGTCCAGAGTAAACTGAGTTTTTGTAGGGAACATTTCTCTAGCCATCTGAATAACAACGAAAATGCAACACCAGGGGATGATGAACCCAATCGTAATGAAGATGGAATATCAAATAAAATAGAGAATAAGAAAGCAGCGGTAGGAGTTGACTTACCAACTGAGCTATTGAAATATGGTGATGAAGAACTGACAATATTCCATCAACGATTTATCCGATCCATTAGAAAGTAGACCTCACAATGTTTACAAACCACATGTGCATTGGAATAAGCCTCTTCGCCCTGAAGTCGCATATGACGTCTTATCCAGCGTGTGTTGCTTTAGACCTGCTAAATCGAAAACTGACAAGATATTCACCATGTCTCAAATCCGGGACAATATATTGTAGGCCGCGGTAGCCGAGTAGTTAGCATTGCGTACTGAGATTCAGAAGGTTTGGGTTCATATCCCAACGCCACCAACATCCAAAAGTAATGGAAAATTCATTTAAACTAAAAATTAAGTTAAATTTTCTAATTGCCGTCGCTTCTCGGCAGGGAGTGTGTTACGGGCATGAAGTAAAGGCTTCTCATAGGTGTAGATCTCTCCATTTGTTGAAAAAACATCCAAGACGCAAAGCTACAAATTGGAGTAGAAGCTCGGCCGAAGAATCGCTTCAGCGGTTACAAAACGCCAATTATATATATGTGTATTGTTTATATATAACCGGCACTTTGTAGCAGCTGAAGCGAATTTGACCATACTCCTCTTCCAGTTTGTAGTGTGTGCCTTGATGTCTTCTAACAAATATGAAGGGATTTACAGCTTTTATGAGAAGGTTTTATTTCATGTAAGAAATACACTTAGAGAGCCTAGCTTACCGTGCCGAGGGGCAACCGCAATAAGAAAACTTGAATTTCTATAGCTTTAAATGTCAGTTGGACACTAGCTAATCACTCGGCAATCGCGACCGAGAGAAAGAATCGATAATACCCGCAACGACGCTAATGCAGCTGTGGAGCAGAGTTTCGAATAAGATCCGAATGAGTCCAGCCGTCAACAGGCGTAATAATTTGAGCTGTGCTCATCCACATTATGGAAAATTTTGCAGAACGACCTTCAAGGGCGTCGCACGTTCGGTGGGTGAACCTAAAATAAGATGGTTGTCGATTCCGCTTTTAACAGAGGAATTTGTCTTCAACGATGATGCTTACATTTAGTTTCATGGGTAGGTTAATAAACAACATTTTCCCATTTGTAGTGATGATAATTCATAAGCCATTATTTTTCGTCAAAATGTTACTACTTGATGTGCTCAGTGGGCGGAGGATATCATGGAATCAAACTGCTTCAAAAGTGAAACTGGCAGGAAATGTTACAGTACAAAGGGAACGCGCCAGAACTTGGATTAGAAACTTTTCCGTGCTTCAATTTGGGCATGATTGATATGAACGGCCTTTGGTTCCATGCCATACAGCCAAGGAAATAATCAATTTAATGGAAGGGAAGTTTTGGTGAAGGCAGTACCTTGCGTCGTATGCCTGTAGTGCGGCCTCCAAAATCATGCGATTAAATAAATGAATGTGCGAATAAGCTCGAGACTATACAGTAGCTGCAAAAAGTGGTCGAAAGTGAGGCTTCTCTGCTGGAATTTCCTCAAGCCCCTCGGCGGTCACTTAATAACAAACCACTATCTTTACAATAAAGCTAAATTCTTCGTCATAACATTAAATTATATGCATTTCATTTCTTCTTGAAAACCACATGTCTAAAAAGAACACCTTTTAATAATAACTGCAGCACTAAATAGGCAAAATACAATCCATTAGAAATACCAAAACAATGCTTGTCGATTAAACTAATCTCATTACTATTGTAATTACAATAACAATAATAGAATAGCACTTACTCCAAATAGATGTCAGAGTGATTATTCAGCAAAACAAATCGTATATTAAAAAAAAAATGTAATTAAAGAATAGTTGTATATTTGATATAATTTACAAATTATAGTTTTTAATTTTGAATATTTTCGCTAATGAATAAGCATTAACATATTACCGCTACAACTGTAACTAGGCATTAATTTATAATATTTACTGCAATCGCCAGAAGTCAAGCCAAAAACAAACAAATTATATGAATATATAATGAATTGAAATGCCCATTAATTTTATTGAGTCACTGACTTTTCATTATTCCTTTTGTTAAAAATACATATTTTTTAAATTGTTTTTAGTTGTTTTTTTTTTTGTATTTTTTATTTTTTGCACACTTTTGTGTAATTAGCACAAATGTACGGACATTGTCACTTTGAATTGATTGTAATCAAACAAATGTGTGTACATATGTACGTACAAGTGTACATACATATGTGTAACTAATTATAAATTCGCAAATATTTATGGCGAATTTAAAAGTAATAAATTGCGAAAGCAACAAAAAATAACACATGTTGTATGCTACTATATGTAAAATATATGTATGTACTTTTATATTATAAAATATTTACGCCAATAAATATATATTTTCATGCATAAAAAATTGCAGTAAAAAAATGTTTGTTCTTGTAAAGAATTTCCATGCAAACAAAACTAGTCACGCATACGCCCTGACGACCGCGACTAGCAAACAACACACAACCTCACAACTTTTTATTTGCTAAAGTTCTTGACAACTTTTTGTGCTTAATATGCTATAGGTTTTTTGTTTTTTTCTCTGTTGCTTCTGCGTTTTTTTAACACTAAACTAAATATCTAGTTGTTGACTTGATGAATGTGCACTACATGTCGCTTGCAAGCTGATTACCTACCACTCGTGTACATATTTTATATTGATGTGTACCCAGCGAGGAAAATTGTGGTTATTAACTAGAATCCAGCTGGCTATATTCCGACTATGCATTAGCTGAGGATAAAAAAATAAATTTTATTTAAAATTAGAAATAAAAAAAAATAAAATTAAAAATAAAAACATAAATAAAAATAAATGAAATATAAATTTTAAATTAAGAATAAAGAAAAAAAAATAAATTTAATTTGAAAATAAATATAAGAATAAAAAAAAATAAAAATTAAAATTAAAATAATAATTAAAATAAAAATAACAATAAAAATAAAAATAAAAATAAAAATAGATGTAAATATAAAGATAAAAATAAATCAAAACCAGAAACAAAAGTCATTTGTCTGCAGCAAGATTCGACGCTTGAATGTCAAACACCAGACTGACAACATGTTGTTGTTGTTCTGGTCTATTGACTAGTCTACGCAACGAGTTCATTTAACGGGAGGTCCAGAAAACGAGCTGTTACGGCGGGTTCAGACCAGAGGGAGAGGGAGTTAAGTGTGTAGGTTTTGAAGATCATGGGAGGGTGGGTTGCGTAATTTATTCTCCCATGCTCTCAGTAAGCATGAGCATGAGTATATCGGATCATTGCAGCGTTTTCCAGGTGAAACTCTTCGCAATCATGGAAGCCACGGAGTGGTTGCACAAATCTAAGCCAGCAGAGCAGGACAATCGGTCGCAATTTACTCCGATAGTCAGGCTGCTTTCAGATCTCTTCAAAAGTTGTCATTAATTGTAGAAACACTCTTAACAAACTCTCAACGAAGTACATTACTGCCGTAGTCTGGGTACCTGGACACACGAACATTAAAGGCAATTACATGTCAGACGACCTAGCAAGGGAAGTAACACTTCTATCTACGATAAAATACCCACATGATCCTAGTTTATCTCTGTCTACGGGTAAGTATATGCTTCAACTGGCCTTCATCAGCGAAGCTGACTCACTATGGTTGAACGAGATCACGTGTAACGTCATCAGACAGCTATGGCCAGAGTTGGACGCCAAAAAATCAAAATATATTTTCCTTCTGGACCGGTTTTCCATTAAAATAACGACTTGTATACAAGCTCGACAATGTTTAATGTGGCTACATGGGATTAGGATGCCATTTTACTCTAACGATTTCTGCCGCGGCTGTAGGCACGAAGAAGAGGAGGAGACCACCGAACACTACCTCTGTCACTGTCCAGCCTTGACAGTCGCGCGACACACGTTTCTTGGGAGCCACTTCTTCGACTGTCTCGCTGAGCTGATCTCAGTTAACATTGGACATCTCGTTGCCTTTATAAGGCACACGAAAAGGTTTGATCATTTCAGAAGGCGAAGCCAGAAGCCTATTGGCCTAAGTGTGCTGTTGTAGACCAGCAGCCGCATTAACTCAACTCTTTGTGGTGTGTCTTTTAATATTTTTCTGCCGAGGGGTGGCCGCATTTAGATTAAATTAATTTTCTTTCATTTTTGGATGTTTGGGCTTAGGCCCTGGCTCGTACTCTTATTTGATAATGATAGAAAAATGTTCCGTAACACGAGGGACGAAGTGACGCCAAGCAACACTTAAAGCTCCTTCCGGATCGGTAAGGCTTACTGAGAGCCATTAAGAGCTGAATAGCTAAACAGAGAAGATACAATCTCCTATAATAGTGTACACTGAATTCAACAACTGCACCGTTAATTCTGCTTTCAACAGATTGGTTAAGCAAGCGATGCGAATAGCTCGGGTACTGCAGAAGAACAATGCCATACAAACAGTCTATCAGTTTATCACCATTGATAGCCGTAACTTTGAGATAATCGGAAATAATTTTGCCCATCTAGAAAAAATGTCAACCACAAATTCCAACACAGAAACACACTTACCAACGGATGCTACTGGGACTGGTAGGCAAATGATAAGTAAAGTCTTCTCTCGACGAACAAAAATCAAACTCTACAAGTCGCTCATCATTCCCGTCCTGCTATATCTATGGTACGAGATGACAACAACGGATGAGTCCGTGCGTAGAGTTTTTAAGCCAAAACTTTTGCGAATGAAGCATTATCAGCCGATATAACGATGAGCTGTACAAATTATTTGGTGACCTTGGCATGCACAGTTCAGCAAATGTAGAGGCTAGATCTTGTTCAGAGAGCAGTACAACTTTGAAGCTAAACAATGCAGTATGCACCAGTAGAAGCAGAAAAGATATCCACTTATATGGGTGGGGAAAGACCAAAGTCCATTTGGTGTCTCCGAACGGCTGGAAGAAAACCCAACTGACAGTGTATACGCTCATCAAAAAGAAAAATTAGAGAAACGTCACTAATTATGATATAAGACATATATTTTATGTATATTTGTATGTATTCTATGCACATACATAAAAGCAATTTACATTTTCTTGTTAATTAATGTGAAAATGGTGCGTATCATGCAAAAAAAAAAAACAAAGGGAAGCAAACAAAAAATATAACGGTACATATAAAATGAGTCCATGTTGCTGGGCTTTTGTTAATTACACGTTAAAGGAATTTAGATTTAATTTTTCTAGCAAATAAATTTTAGTTCTACTTTTTTTTTTAATATTAGAAATATTTTTCTTGCAATTATAATTGCGGCTTACGTAAACATATATACATATGTATGTATGTGTATATGTAAGTATATAATCCATGAAAAAGTATTTAGTTAGCAGAATGAAGTCCACCAAAAGTTTGGCTGAAGACGTTAACGACAGATGACATATTTTAATTCTTAATAAGCTTTGGACGTGAAAGCACTCAAGCATTAAGTGTGCTCAACGCCTGGCAGCGCAGCAGCGGAGTAAAAAAAAAAAAACAAAGTACAGTCGAAAAAAGGCAATAAGAACAACATAAATCTTGGCTGCTTGTAATTTTACAAGAAAAAAAGGAGCAGAAAAAAAGCATTATTTGAGAGTAATCTTATATTTGAGCCTCAAATCACTCTACAGATATACACACACACACACATAGCCGCTTATATGTATATGTATGAAAGCTTCTGCGCCAACTATACTACTATAGCCCTAAATATCAAATTGTAACAACAAAGCGTACGCACATAAATTACAAATTAACATACTTAATGTAATTACAAACGCCACCATTCTCGTGCGCATATTTACACGCAAAGCTCACGCCTCCGCTCACGCCCTAGTTATCCTTTGCACGAATACCAACAATGCAAATGCTGTCATTCGCAGGATTCACTGGTCTACACCGCCATTACGGCCTAATACGCTGCCAAGTAATACTGTTTGGATGTGTGTTGTTGTTGTTGTTATTTGTGCTTTTTATACTGCTCTGGCGCCCGTCATACATGTTGACCAACGGCAATGATAACATTAACAACAACAAAAACTACGACAACGACAACGACAACGACAACGGTATTAACACAAATACGTTACGTAAGGATGGATTTCGAACGCAAAATTGCAATAAATTAGTTGAAAATCCCAACAGTCAACAGGAAGATGTACCACCACCACCAAAACAACCCATCAACCGTAGCGCTGCTGCTGCTACTTCTGCTGTAGTTATTGTTGCTGACGGCGGTATGGTCAGTGGTTTACTTGATGACCACAACAATTTGCTCAAGTCACGCATCGCTGCCGGACGCGATTTTGAAACAAAAAGCGTTGAGCTTGACAATATCAGCGCTCCTGAGAGGCCTAGCTTTACTGCGAACAGTGTAGAAATTATTGAAAAGTGTGCGAACAATTGGATTAAGAGTGAAGTTTCCGGCGAGAATGACACCAGTAACGGCAGAAGAAAAATAAATAAACATAAGAAAGTTGATATTTTGGAGAATTTGTTGAAGAGACGACATAAGAGAATCATAATCTTCAGTGGAAGCGGTGTGGTCAAGGTTAGTCGAAAACCATGTATGCTGTAAGCTCTGTCAAGCGCGAGCAGCGGCTATCTGAAGTAGCGAAAAAAGAAATAACTGCTCACCTTGCATCTTACATAAATTTTTTTGTGTTTTTTTTTTTCAATGTTATTATGTCTTCATTAAATTACGTAAACATTTGTTTTCAGTTCGTTGTAGGTGTGTCTTTTCCAATAATGCTTGCTGACAAAACCCGCTCCATGGGTCACTACTATAATTTACAAGTCCAATATCCGCTACCAACGACACCCATTTATTGGTGGAACTTTTTCAACTCCAGCAGTTTTGCTGCCCGTCGTCAACAGCGTCAAGCGAAGGACACGCCGCCACAAGTCAAGCTGCATCCACACATAAAACATGACGTGAGTCGCGAGTTCATATATGAAGCAATAGAGCATATTTATGAACGGTAAACAAATGGCTGATATTCTTTACTTATCGAAAAGTAGTTACACAATTTTGCTTTCATTTCTCTTAGGCATGGCATACCGGGGGAAGCCTGTTTACTGCAAGCGATTTGTGAGGTGTCTCAATTGCCTTTCCATGCGCCACAACAGTGGGAAAATAATTTAGCACACTTATGGCATGCACTTCTGAATGCTGTCTTAGTGTGCGTATATAATTATACAAATATGTATGTACTTGTATGTAATTTATTTTTATATTCAATTTTCTGCGTCTACTTACAGTCCCACTGTACCTAATGTGGATATGAAATATTTGCACGCCAGTCAAGCGGGACGTTTTGGCGTTGACTGTCAACGAGCATTTGGTGAGTGCCCGCGGAGAGTAAATGGGTGGCTGAGAAATGTAGTAGAGCAAAACTAAATTTAATTAAATAATGTAAACTGTATGAAACCGAATTACAATAAATTTAAATAAATTAAATTAGAAAAGGTGAATTAAAATTAAATTCAACGATTGAAAGAAAAAAAATAAATGAATTGAAATAAAATGAAACAAAAGTAAAAAATATTTTTAAATTGTATTAAAATAAATTCAAAATATTAATACAAATTAATTAAATAAAAAATTTCAAATAAAAAACATTAAAGCGAAATAAATAAAATAAATACACTAAAGCAAAATTAAATTAAATTAAGCAAAAAAAAAATAAAAATAATAAATAAAATAAAAAAATAGGAAAATAGAATTAAATATATTAAGCAAAAAATTATATCAAAAGAAAATAAACAAAGCTAAATTAAATTACGCTAATAAAATATAATAAAAAAACGGAATGAAATTAAATACATTAAACAAAAAATTAAATTAAACTGAACTGTACAACAACAAAAAAATAAGCCAAAACGAATTAAATAAAAAAATGAATAAATTAATTAAATTAACCCTTAAAAATTAAATAAAACACAAAATAAAATAAAATAAAACTTAGAAAAACGAAATAAAGCCAAATTAATTTGAAGCAAATCAAAAAATATTACTAAATTGAATTAATTAAAAAAAAAAAAATAGCAGAAAAAAATAAAATAAAAAAGTTGAATGAAAATATTAAATGAAACATATATGAAAGTGATATAAAAACTAAGTGATAAAAAGTAAATGAATAATAAAAATAAATAAAATAATATAAATTAAATTGAAATGAACTGAAATAAAATAAAATAACATTAAATCAAGTTATATTAAATTAATTTAAACTGAATAAATAAAATACAAATAAAATAAAAATAAGAATAAAATAAAGTAAAATAAAAGTAAATACAATAAAATAAAGTAAACAAAATAAAAATATATTATATTAACTAAATAAGATTTAAATAAAACTAAAATACATTAAACAAATAAAATTAAATTTAAAAACATCAAATAAAATGAATTAAAAAAATTAATTAATTATTTAAAAATAAAATAAAGCAAAATAAAATTAATCCAGTAAAATTAAATTAAACAAATAAAATAGAAAACAAAGTCAAATAGAGTTAAATAAAAGAAAGCAAGGTAAAATAAAATGAGTTAATAAAATAAAATTGAAATATGTAAAATATAAATAATAAACTAAACCGGAAGAAAAAGGATGTAAACAGATTTAATTCAAATACTAAAATTTAGTTAAGGTAAAAGTAAACAAAAAAAAATATATATTAAAGCAAAATAACATAAAATAATATAAATGAAATAAAAATTAAATATAAATTAAAGAAATGTGAAAGCAATATCAAATAAAATTAAGTAAATTAAAATTGAAATATTATTAAATTAAAGTGAATCTTAAAAAAAAACTAAGGTATAATAAAATAAAATAAACTCAAATTAAATTATGATTAAATTTAATTAACTAAACTAAAAATAAATATAATAAACTAAAGAAAATTTTAATACATATTAAAAAATAAATTAAATAGAAATAAATCAAATTAAATAAAGCAAAATAACATAAAACGCATTAATTTAAAATAAATGAAATGCAACCAAACTATAATTGAAAAAAACAAAATCATGCAAAATAACATAAAATAAAATAAATTAAAATAAAAATAAAATATTTCGAATTAAACAAATAGAATAAAATTAGACACAAAATAAAATGCATAAAGTAAAAGAAAAAAAATTAGTTAAAATAAAATAAATTGTATTAATATTAAATTGAAATAATTAGTGCAAAATAATTTAAGAGAGAAGATCGGTTTGAATAAAATTAAATTATAATTAAATAACAATAAAATAAAATAAATTAAAAAACATTAAGAAACAGATCTTTTGAAATAAACAAATAAAATTAAATTAAATTAAGAACACACTAAAATAAATAAACCGAATTAAATCATTAAACTAAAATAAAAAATAAATTAATTAATTAAAATAACTTGAACTGTAAAAATATTAAATTGAATCAATTAAAGCGAAATAAGATTAAATTAAATTAAAAACATTAAATTAAATAAATAAAAATAAAGATTAATTATTCGAATTAAAAAAATTAAATTAAATTAAACACCAAATAAAACAAAAAACAAAATAAAATGCATTAAGTAAAAGAAAAATAAATTAAAACCATTAAAGTAAAGAAACAATAATTAATTAAAATAAACTGTAACAATATTAAATAGAACTAATTAAAGCAAAATAATATAAGAGGGAATATCAGTTTAAATAAAATTAAAATTAACAAAATTATATTATATTATTACAATGATTAATTATTAATTATACTTAAAAAAAACAAAATAACATAAATTAAAATAAATAAAATAAAATAAATAAGATAATTTTTTTATACAAATAAAATAAAATTAAAAAAAAATTAAATAAAATAAAATATGAATGAAAAATAGAATAAAACAACTTAACTTGGTTCGGGTGGAACCAAACATTGGTTACAAGGTTAATATTTGCATATATTAATTAAGACCACAAATCAGTCAAAAATGTATGGTCGCTGCGTGGTCTATTTATAGACGTATGTAAATATCCCATTTTTGGTTGGGTATTTTCAAGGGAAAAGTTTTGCGTAGAAACTATGAGCTGCCCGACATATACGGCGACATTGCCAGAGCTCAGCGAATCAGTTTGTCACGGATTTGAATTAGATTCTGGTATCTAATTTCATCGTACCGCTGTTAAATGTCACAGTATTGATGATAACTTTCGGTTATAGCGTCCAAGAATGGTTTCATCAAATGAGGATGTATGTAACCTACACTGTACATACATTACACAAAGTATTTTGTATTTTATATCTGAACGAAGTACACTAATAAATAATCGTCATGAAATATTACAGCAATTTTCAATTCTTCAATAAAATCCGTTTAGTAACAACTCTTTCGGTGTAAAAATTCTTAAAAAATATATATATATACATCATTTCCTACATTTCTTGGCTTATAAATTCGAAATTTTCTACAAAATTAAAAAATGCTTGTTTCAGCTATTTGCGGTCGATCCATAAGTTGTGGAGGGCAACAACTTGTGTCTAAGGGTCTTCTTTCAGGTTCCATTATTGCTAAGGCGCTAGCTGCAAAACGATTTGTAAATTACCGTGCCGAATGTTCCAAAGATGGTACATCTATAAGGCCTCCAAAGAACAAGACAAAATCAATGTGGCTAAATCCTGAATGTTGTCTGGATCCATGTCCCGATTTACAACCGCGTTTCGATGAACTCTACTATAAGCCGTCAGATAAGATGAAACGAAAATACACGCAAACATGGGTTGAGTGTCCGAAAATAATGTATGCTCGAAAGAAAATTTGCTGCTATGATAATATCATACCGCCAGCTTTTGAGCGGCGCATGCACAAGCGAAGAAAGGCTTCAGAAGAATGCAAGCCCAGGCCAACCGATCTGATGCCATGTAAGACTATGTCAAGAAGTATCTGCCCGAAGTTTGTTTTACCTGGTTGTACAGCCGTACGTGATCCAGCAAAATGTGGTAGACCCCGTCCGAAGAGAAGTTGTGTTAAAATCTGTACACCATATCCGAGCTTTTCGGAGTGTACCAAAAAGAAACCCCGTCCACCTCGGTCAGTCGAGTGTCGTTGCTTAGATATTCCATCTATGTGTGATGTCTTTAGGTTGTTGAAACGCGCACACGGACATCGCAAAATATGAAAGAAAGAAAGTGAAGCAGTAAGCATATAGAATACAAAAATTTCAATTTATTTTTATCAAAATTTTCTGTAGTTTGTAAACAAAATATTTTTAACTGTAACAATTATTATGGCAAAAATAAAAATTGCAAATTTTACACTATAAAAATATCGAATTGCATCAATATACTGTTGGACTGGCAGCGAGAGGCTGCTGCATAAGGTATTTTTGCCATCTGGAGTCACCATGTTGGCCCTTTCGAATGCTCGTTTCTACCAAAACATGACAATAAATTTTACTGGTACCAAGGACTTATGTTTGTAATGTACTCTCTAAGAAGGTGTTTTTTTGTTGTTAGTGTAGTGGCTCGCCGACACCGCTTAAGAATCGGCGAGAGTAGTTTAAGTCATCAATGTCATCTAACGGGAGGAATTAAATCGGCTGTAATCGTTTGCAATTGTGCCATTATTTACGGGTCTCTCGCGGCAACACGGGCAATTGGTCTAGATTCCTCGAATGTAATTCACACGAAGAGAATACATGAAGGTGTTGACGGACTCTAGGTGAATGGCGTTGAAGGCCTTTCCAATGGTTCTTGTCTATGGCGCTATATGGAGAGGATGCAGTTGACATTTTTCATCAATACCATCTTTTCAAGGCATGTTAAAATTAGAATTTATGGTGCTTCTGTTGTTGTTGTTGTAACCGCAAAAATATATTGCGGGAATGACAGTCCTTGACCGGATTAAGAACCGGGTCGTTCCGGTACAAAGACCCGACTGTCGCGGGAACTATTGGATTTTAGTCGCCTCATACGACAGGCATGCCTTGGAAAATTCTTGAACTCCAAAGCCACAGGTTTAATTCCCATAAAAGCTTGAGCAATACATACATGTTTACAAATTGTATCCTCTCATCATACCACCTTAGGCTTCTTCGGTGGTTTCGCTATTATGGAGTATGCACTCATTTTATTATAACAGTTTTTGTATTAGTTTTAAATATAATATAGAGTAGTTTAAAAAACACATTCCTGTAAGCAGTTTAGCTTAATTCCCAGTTCCAAAATTTAAAGTCATTTACGATTGACAAACACTAAAAACCACATTGAAACCTACAATGGAAAAATATTTCAGCTGGCAGCACTAACGAAGAGCAACAGCTGATAAACTGACACTTAACAGGTTCGTTATTATAAAGCAAGTGCATGCACAAACAACTGTACTAATATAAAAGCAATTTAATTTAGCGTGCTGAATTTCACTATTATTTTACCCATTGCATTGGATAGCACCAAAAACAAAACCAGTTTTAAACGAAATATTTAAAATCAAACAGTAAACAAAACTCTTTTAAGCGTATACTGGAGACAGTATGATAGAGCGTCCACAATTTGTCACGCAGTCTGCACATTGTCACGAAACCATAAGCGCCCGGTTTCATTCATAAAGACTGATATCAACTACCTTTGTTTACTTATCGCGGAGCAACAAAAAGAAAGTTTTACTGCATAGTACATAATAATAAGTCAAAGTGTTCGGAGCTGTACAATTTTATGCAGTACAATTGAAATTCTTATACGTATGTATGTATAAGGGCTTTCCGGGACTGCAGTTTCAAAAACTTTAAATAAAGAGGACTCCAAGTAATTTATAATAGTCACTGTTACTCAATATTCTTCTTAACATCTTCTAAACTCCTGATGCAAATATCCATATCTTGCAGATAAAAAAAAGGTGAGCACTGTGTACATATCAAACTATAAAAGCGATTTATAACTAGTAAAATTTAGTGGAGAACAAATTCAATAAAATAAATTTGTTTCTTAAGGGATATCTGTGAGCCTTCTTTTAGAAGATATAAATGTATGTGTACATATATGTCTCATACAAATTTCTACACGAGTACAATTGCACATAAGCATAAAAATTAGCATAACTATAAAATCCAATGCATGCTTAACGAAACAACAGAGAAGAGCTTAACTTAAACATTGAAACCAATAACAAAACAACTTCATACTCCATTACTTCACGCCTGATGTACGTTTAAATAAAAGGATTTTACTATAAATACTTTTGCATTTTACTAAATATATGAATAAGTATGTGAAGTTTATTACCCAGCTTATGTAAGCATAGAAAACATCACTTTTACACATCTTATTGTATAATTTTCCTCGCTCATTTTTTTCAATTGGACATACTTGAAGCATGTATGTATATACATACAGACAGCACGGCAAGTTGGTGTGGTAAAACTTTCCCTTTATTTTTTTCTTTTTTGTTGTTTCCACGGAGCACAGTGAGTTCACTATCGCTTGAAAAAATAGCTTTTGCATTACTTATGTAAACAAATGGAAAAGATCGCTTTCAAGCGATAAAAAAGGTTGAGTGCATATGAATAACTTGACCTTAAAAAGTCATTTGTCATAAAAAAAAAAAAATAGCGCTACATTCAATTGAAATTAGTTTACATAAAACCTAACAAATAACCCGCATTAACAACGTTATTTTTTATAAATACAGTGCGAAAGATCCACACCCTTTGAGAATGGCTACACAATTGGAAAGCTCAAAACCAAATACAATACCTCAAACAATTAGTAGTGAAGGTGTGACGATGAAGACCCCGCCTTCAAGCTCAGAAAATCAACCACCCACTCCAGCGTTGAAAACATTCGTTAAGGAGAGATGGAAAAGCAACAGCACATCAGAACAAATAAGCCAAGTAATGTCTGGTGGTTTAGCTGCTGCTATAACGCGTACACTTTGTCAACCATTGGATGTATTAAAAATACGGTTTCAGCTGCAAGTGGAACCACTGAAGGAGCACATCAATCAGCAATCAAAATATACAAGCATAGTTCAGGCTGTTCGCACAATTTATCGCGAAGAAGGTTTACTTGCCTTCTGGAAAGGTCACAATCCAGCTCAGGTGTTAAGTATAATTTATGGTATATCTCAGTTCTGGACTTATGAGCAGTTAAGTTTTGCCGCTAAACAAACTACATACCTTAAGGATCATACGAATGTATCGAATTTTCTTTGTGGTGCTACAGCTGGCGCTACTGCTGTCGTATTATCGACACCCATGGACGTAATACGGACACGTCTCATCGCTCAAGACAAATACAAAGGCTATAAGAATGCAACAAAAGCGGTATCGGCAATAATACGCAACGAAGGCATACGCGGAATTTATCGGGGCTTAAATACTGCGTTATTGCAAATTACACCATTAATGGGTGTCAATTTTATGCTTTACCGACTATTCAGTAAATCCGCAATGGAATTTTACGAAGTGAACGAACGCAGGTAATTACTAATATAAAGAGTTAAAATATATATATATATGTAATTCTTTAATTTTTTATTACCTTTAGCGAATTGCCAGCATGGGTTCTGCTTTGTTTGGGTGGATCATCTGGCATGTTGTCCAAGTCAATGGTGTATCCTTTTGATTTATTAAAGAAGCGACTGCACATACAGGGATTCGAAGCAAACCGTCAGACCTTCGGCGAAAACATACGCGCTACGGGGATTTACAGCTGTCTCAGAAAGACTGTGCAACAGGAAGGCCCGGCAGGCCTATATAAAGGCATGGCTCCAACACTACTAAAGTCGTCCATAACAACGGCTTTATACTTTGCCATTTATGATAAACTCAGAAAGGTTCGTTGGTTCACTTAACCCATTGTTTGTTGAAAATTATTAACTAGATAATTTAAGTTATATATTACATTATTATTTTATAAAATTGTTAATTTATGACATTATTCTATTCTAATTATATTTTTATGTGTTAAGTGTAAACATATGTACATTGAATAATGAGAAGTTGTATACTTTATATTATTTTAAGCGATATATGTAAATATGTATTTGTATGTACATACGTATGTTGTTGAACTGTAATTTTAGCTAAAATTTCGCGAATAGCGAAGCCTTAATTGAATTTAAAATATCAATAATAATAAGTTATAGTTCTTGTATTATAGGGGAGAGAATAAAAAAATTGGTTATGCATTTGGAGTAAAATATTTTTTATTACCAACACTTCTGATAAATAGAAGAATTCAATCGTTTTGTAAATTGAGAAATTTCATAAAATGTATTTTCAAAATACCTACATATATACTTAAGTTATAAGAAATAACTTTCACTTCTCCTTACTTCCGTTTGAATAATTTTGCGGTATAAAACCATCTGTTCAATGTCAGCAGAGTGAGGCCATTTTTGTTTACATGCGCTTGCGAAGAGACGAAAAGCGTAAAGCCAGAGTATTGTGCTGACTACTGGTATCAGCGCCGATGGTATTATCAAACTCCATACTAAAAATAAAGCTTTATAAGAAAATATTAATCAAAAATAGTATTTCAAATGTTACACTACATTAACTAAGCAAAAACACTTCTTTTTTTTATTTATTTCCAACTAATTAATAAAATCATTCATTATACTCTGTACTGTAAATTAACGCCTCACTTGAAAGCAACCCTGCTTCATTGTTCTTCGAACGCCATTCGTGATTTGTTTATACACACACTTTTTTTATTGTATTTTCTTTTTTATTCGCTAAGCCGCTAACCAATTACATATCCGCACATATCTAGAGTAAATTTTGTTTTAATTAATGTAATTAAATTCCCACCGATAAAAAAAGAATCAGGAATCACAGTAACGACATATTAAATTTTACGTAAAAGCTGTTTACATGGATTTTGTGGGTATGACGGAAGCCAAACAATGCAATCAAGAGCAGGAATTAATTAATACCGTGGAGTTATATGATGATACGTCTTCAGAATTATACTATACAGAAGAATCTGAAGATGACGATCCAACTGGTTTTGGTTTGTACGGTACAATAACAACTGCACAGTTTAGAGAAGCGCTGGAAGAGTCAATAACCTCTCGGAACGATCCTCCAAAGACGAGCAATGTTGAAACACTTTTACATTTACACTACGGCGACCTTATAGTATATCTGGAATCAACGGAAACAATTGAAACATCCGGGTTTCCTTATATTATAATGTTTCATAGCTTTGAAAAATATGCTACCGACTTACTTTGCTACATTGATATGCTTTTTCAATCTGCTCAACAATATGATGGTGATATATGTTTTGCCATAACAGACTTTAAAAATTACGAATCCGTGCTCAATTACCGACCCGGAACTGATACTTTTTGGAAGCGTTATGAAAGGCATGGCTTTAGCAAAACCCAACGTCCAGGTATTTTCGCGATAGACACAGACAATCGCATTTATCAATTCGTAGGTCCTTTGAACGCAGATGAGCTAAGAAAATTTAGCCGCCAACTAGTAAATGATGAACTATTTAAAACTGAACCAATACCAGAAGATGACGAAGAAGATTTTGTACGTGTTGGCGTCGCTGCGAATTTTGAGCAGCTAGTACTGAAAAGTGATATAGACATATTTCTAGTATTATATAGTAATTCATGCCCTTGTTCTCGCGAAATATTGCCCATTCTAAATGAAGTAGGAAGACTGCTACAAGATGAAGACATCTTAGTGTTAAAAATAAATGCTGAAAAGAACTATTTACCACTAAAATATTATGCCTGGTATTATCCCACATTAATGTTTATAAAACGAACCAACAAGAACAATTTAATCGAATATAATGGTTCAAGTAGGACCGTCAATGACATTATAAAATTTATTGCTAAAAATGCCACAGATGATCTACTTGAATTCAACAGAAAGGGTAGGCCGAGATTCGATTAATGTTAAATAAAGTTTCGTGATATTTGTAAGTTAATATCATTGTGCTCATTTGATATACATATTGTACATGTACGTACGTACATATGAACATAAAATTAAGTGTAGCAGCTGATAGCTGAGAATATACATTTAAACAAAAGTGCGTGAATAGTGAAAACAGTATACGGCCGATTTCGGCAAAAAGTAAATTTTTGTACCTAACTATGTATAAACTCGAAATACGTAATAAAACCGCCATATACCTCGATCATCGGGAATTAATTAAAAATATGTATAATAATGATATCGCGGTAGGAATGGAAATGTTTGAATTACGTGAAGAAATCTTCCATTTTCACGATCGTGGAATAGATTTTGAAGACAGGAATGCAATTAAGCGCTCAAAGACTGAAGAATATAAACTTGCAGTAAAGGTCAGAAAAAGTAAAAAACGCAAATCCGAAAACTACACTTCAACTCCAGAATTGTCTAATTTACAAATAATAATAGAAGAGTTTTTGCATCTCATGGAGCAAGAGAAAATATTTAAACCAATAGAAAACAATGAAATTGAGATTTTTCCACGCCATTGGGAAGAAATATCTTCAGAAGACTTTCCTAAATTCAATGGCACCAACGCTACTGACGCGTACCAACGCTGCAAATTTGGCGTTCACTCTTTTATCATACCCCCGCGTTGTAAATTCTACAATAACAACGTCGACGAGCTAACTAAATTGTTACCACAATTAATGCCAACATCCGAATTTTTCGATCTAATAGTTTTAGACCCACCATGGCGAAATAAATATATCCGACGATTAAAACGGGCCAAGCAAGAATTGGGATATAAAATGCTTAATACTGTTGAGTTGAGCCAAATGCCTATTGAAAGACTAGTACACAAACAAAGCATATTGGCTATATGGTGTACAAATTCTCAGGATCATCAACGCGCTATTGTCGAAGAACTCTTGCCAAAATGGAATTTACGTGTGCTACATATAATGCATTGGGTAAAAGTCAACACAAAAGGGCAGTTAATAGGGCCAATCGATACGAGTGGTACGAAAAAGCAACCTTTTGAAATGATATACTTGGCATGCCATTTGGAGAATGGGAAGGACTTTAGTATTGAGCTACAAAAAGTAACAGCGATATTTAGCATACCAAGCATTGTGCACTCTCACAAGCCGCCCCTACTGCCGTGGCTTAAGAATGTGCTACCAGACAATCCTAATTGCTTAGAAATATTCGCGCGCTATTTGCAACCAGAATTCACCTCGATCGGCTTAGAAGTACTGAAACTAATGGATGAAAGATTATACAGTTCCTACAAAGAAAATTTAGCATAAAAAGATGTACGAGTATATAAATTTAAGTATTTTTATTTTTGAATGTTAATGAGAAGTATAAATTGCGTATATGTAAGCGTACAATAAATCATTTATACCGCAACTTGAAGATTATTTTCTTCCTCTTTAAAGTAAACCTAAACAAATGTGTAAGTATGGATAAAGAGGTAAAGTTGTGTTTAACAAAAACACAATGAATTTAAAAAATATTTTAATATTTTTGATTTTTTCAAGCAAAGCAAAATGTGTGTTTTAATATAAATTATTAACTGTTAGTGACATTGAAGTGGTAATACGATTTTTGTTTTTGTTTGATTATAATCATTATTCCTGTCCCTGAGCTGCAGCAGCTGGATTCACAATATCATCGCCACGCTTTTTCGATCCGGATACAATATCGTCGATACGCAATAACAAAATGGCTGTCTCGACAGCAGTTTTGTAAGTCTGCATTTTTACGGCTAAAGGCTCCCAGATACCTTTTACATTCATATCCACAATTTGACCAGATTCGCCATCGATGCCCCATGCGCAGACTCCATCTCCTATATATTGATAATAAAAAAAAATAACATTAGACTAGCAGCTATATTTTCCAATTATATTCGATGAGTTACCTGAATGTGAAGCATGCTTGGCACGCAAGGCAGTTAAAGTACGAATGGTATTTGCGCCGCAATTTTGAGCCAAAGTACGAGGAATGATCTCCAAAGCTTGTGCCACAGCAGTATATGGTCCCTTTAATTGCTTACGCGACAATAACTGAGACACAGCCATTTCAATGGCACCGCCACCAGCAACCAAACGTGGTTCCAAAATTAAGTTTCGTGCTACATGCAAAGCATCTTGCAAATTGCGTTCAGTTTCGTTTAGAATGTCTTTTGATGCACCACGAAGTAGTATGGTACACGCTTTTGGGTCCTTGCAGTTGGTTATAAATGTGAAGTATTCATCGCCGATTTTCTTGATTTCAAAAAGACCCGCGCCAGTGCCAACGTCCTTTTCCGTTAACTCTTCTGTGCGATTCACAATTGTAGCACCACAAGCACGGGCAATACGAAGATTATCAGTTTTGCGTAAACGCCGAATTGCTGTAATACCGGCTTTCAGCAAGTAGTGCTGCGCCAAGTCAGAAACGCCCTTTTCAGTGAATACAATGTCTGGTTTTACGGCAATAATATCAGAACATATGCGTTGCACAAACTCCTCCTCGATCTGAAGCATGCGGGTGAAATCTTGTTCACCAATTATCTCTACATTTGTTTGACTTTCGCCTTTTTTATATTCAAGTGAGCAATCCAGCAGTACAATTCTGGGATTTTCAATGTAACGTCGCATCTTAGGGTGCGTAACATCCTTGTTTAACATAACACCTTTCAAGACGCTTGACTCATCGATGCTACCACCAGGAATTTTCTCTACTTTTGCATATCTGAAATTCAACGCTTAGTATGTGGATTAAATAAAACATTAAAATAATTACCGCTTGATGTCAACCTCCAAACGACCATTTTCATTCAATGCTACAGTTTGAACAGCATCCAACGCAATTTTCACTGCTAAATCAGACCATTTACCAATGAACTTTGTGCCTACACAAGCTTTAACAACTTCAGCCATTTTCTCTTTATTGTTCACGTCAAGTGGCACGCTCAAATCCGTTTGCAAGTGTTTTATAATGTCTTCCAAAGCCTCACGGTATGCACGAATAATGACTGTTGGATGGATTTGTTGTTGCAAAAATGGCTCAGCAGCCGCTAGCATTTCTCCGGCCAACACGATTACAGAGGTAGTACCATCACCAACTTCCTCGTCTTGTGTACGAGCAATTTCAATCATACTCTTGGCAGCTGGATGTTGTACGGTGATTTCACGCAGAATGGCATTGCCATCATTTGTCATCACGATGCCTCCCATGGGATCCATAAGCATTTTCAGCATTGCCTGCGGCCCTAGACAAGTGCGAATAACATCCGCAATCGCCTGTAATAAAGAAAATATATTATTTTGAATCATGTGTTCAAGAACTTTCCCGTAAATTTTTTGATTTCATGACTCACGCATGTACATACTTACTTTTCCGGCATTGATATTCTCCAGCTGAACTTTCCGGCCCGACTCACGCTTTGTGTTTTGGCCTAATTGTGAATATATATATTAATATCAAAAGATTTGGTTGTAAACAAGAAATACTTACTTAACACAAGTATTGGTTGTTGTCCTCCAAACATTTTTTTAAATTTTTATTGAACTTTTTCACAGCTAAATGAAATCACTCGTGCAATACTAGCGTGCCGTTGTACTTGTCAAAATCGAAAGGCGTTGGAATGACATGAGCAATGCTTTGTGAGGTTATCATCCCGAGTTTCCACTGCACTATAACTGATGTCAATTATAAACATCATGAAACAACAAATCAATGTTTACCTTATTTAAAAACAACAAGATAGAAAGAGAGATAAAGAGTTGTGTGTTCTTAAAATCAAAGCTGTGTTTCTTATCTAAATTAATATTGTTTGTTTCCATTTCAAATTTAATTTCTTAATTAGGAATATCCATTTTTTCTTGTGGACACATTGAAATTTCATGTTTTTTAACATAATTTAAGTATAATTGTAAAATTCCTACTTGAACTCTCTTTTTCACTTTAGCTTTCCAGGGCATGTATTTTCCAATCTTTCTAAGCAGTAAACAGCTGACTCTTCCACATTTGTTTATGGCCAAGTCACAAATTCATTAAAAACACAAAACGTTTAAAAAGTATTTCAGAAAAAATGGAAACAAAAAAGATATCTTTCGGGTTTAGTAAAATCGCCAAAAAGCCCAACTTATTGCCATCTAATAAAGCAAAGGAAAAAGAAGATTCTAAAGTTGAGCTCATAAAATGTTTAGAAGGCCAAAAAATAAAACTTATGCAGTAAGCAAAATATTTATTTTCTATTTATCCAACACTTTTGTATTAATTACAATTTGCATATTTCAGAGAAAAACAAGTAGCTGCTCCTTTGGTCATACCACTAAAAGAAAGTACAAAAACTTCGGCCGCGCTGGCAAGCTTGATCAAGCGGCGTGCAGTTTTACTAGGAGAAGCAGATGAGCTACCGGCTAATGAGCCCTTACCTAATGTAAACTCTACAACTAAAGATATAGATAACTTGCCTTTAGAAGAAAGAGCGGCACGAGAATTACTTGCTTCGGTGCAAAATAATGGCAACGAGACAATAGACCAAAGTCTTATATTACCTGCATTAAAAGCTGATGAGTTGCCACTTGATGGTGCCAAACAATCATCTATAGACGATTATGAAAGTGTACCCATAGAACAATTTGGCAAAGCAATATTGCGCGGCATGGGCTGGATAGAACCCATCCAAAAGAATGGACAGCCAACAGCTGAGGAAATGCCATTTGTACGCCCAAAAGGAATGGGATTGGGAGCGGATAAAGCACTTAAGAAACAACCCTTACTAGTTGCACCGGAAAAGAATGAAATACTAGAAATTAAGAAATTGGCTTATGTGCGTGTACTGGGTGGTAAAAATAAAGATTTATATGGACAGATTGAAGGTTTCGATGACCATGCCGGACGTGTTATTGTTAAAATGGCTATTGGTGGTGCTAAAGAAGCCTTCAACGAGTTTCTTTGTCAACCGGTATCGAAAAAGGAATATGCACAATACGGCAAATGCATTAGTAAGTTATAAAACATTTAAATCCACCCATGAATTTATTCCTAATTTACTATTTTTTTCAGATACCGCAAAGTACGAAGAATATAAAAGAATGGAAAATGAACAAGGTCAAATTATAATTAAGAAGGAAGATAAGGATAGAAAATCGCCGAAGGATGAGGACAAAGTTAAAGTGGAAATTAAAAAAGAAGGCGAAACCAACAAATATGATAGATCAGATCGGAACAAGAGGGAAAACAACGAGGAATCACGTAAAAATAAATGTGAGAGCTATAGACAGCGCTCTGATTATCAAAGTAGTTCGCGTAAGCACGATGATCGTGTTAATTACTCCAATAATGGTGATCGAGTGGAGGATGACAGACGCAACCGGCGTAGAAATAGCGGCTCTCGACATTATGAAGAAGATGAACAGCGCAGTAGCGGCAGTCGACGAGAGTATTACGATGAGCGACGCAATGTACGCGATCAAAACAAACGCAGATCAAGAGGTCGCATCATTCGCCTTAGTCAAGAAGAGCGTTTACCATCAGCAAGTAGTAGTAGCAGACGCCAACAGTACACTGACGATACCAGTGCTTCCTCTGGTACAGATAGTGATTCAGACTCTGCATATGAACGCAAAATGAAAAAGAAGTCTAGCCATAAATCGAAAGCTAAAAAAAGTAGTAAAAAATCCAAACGCAAGCATAACAGAACGACTGAAACAGAGTCTTCAACCGATAGCGACGGCGAAAAAGAAGCCATTCTGTGGCAAAAGAAGCAACATAAAAAAAAGACTAAGAAGAGTAAGAAACCACGCTCAAGATCGCGATCACATGAACGGAGCAGTAGAAGATGACAACTTTTCGTATCGAATTAAATTACTAGTATCTAAGATCTTAACGTAAGCAGACTTCTGTATTGATGGAATAAACTTTATCGATTTTCAATTTGATAAAAATAAAAAGAAACACGTAAACTTTATTGATGTTGATTGTATTTAGTAATCATGTTCGTATTGTAATATATATGTATGTATATGGAAATCGCCAGTAGGAAAAAAACGCTTATTTATAATTAAAGGTTAAATTCTCAATTTCTTTTATAATAAAATCACAATTATAAATATATATATATATATATTTTTTTTTTTCTTTTGAATATTTTATTTTAATTATGGGCAATATCATTAGTTTTATGATTATGTATGATATAAGTGAATGAAACTGAATTTATTGGTAAAAATTAATGTGACCAGAGATTCGATGGATTTCATGATGGCACTAAGCGCAATGGCAATATTGAGAAATGCAATTGGTCGTATAATAAAGTAGAGGAGTTTTTTCGAGTATTTTGTTTATTTTAAATACATTGAATGGAATTTTTCTTATGTGATGAATGATACTTGGCGACATGCTTGAGAAAAAGCTAGCCACAAACTACTTTACTTCTACATTTAATAGAATGTTGTAATATTTAATAGCTATTATTTTCTTTTGATATATTCGCGCAATATCGCATTTTATTTTATATGTACTCTTAATATCTCTTTCAGTATTTCAATTTGCTTTGGTAAATGTTCATTTTTTTAATACCAACTTAAAAAAAAAAATTATATGCAACTTCATAATTTGATCGCTTGTTATGTGCGTAAAAGAAATTCAGTAAATATTATTATGAACCTAAGTTGACTACAAATTTATTGCTAAAATAATAAATAATTTAAAAATGCAAAGAAGAACTTATATACTGAGCTTTGTCCCCGTTGCTACAAGCATCAGTCTACCTTTTTAGTCTGCTTTCTTATTCTTTTCACGCAATTGCTGTAGTTTAGAGTTCACGGCACATCCAAAATAGTCTTTTATTTTGTAGAACACACTTTTCTCCTGTATGCCCGGATACATACCCAAAATCATAGTGATCAAATACATTAAGAGAAGATTATTTATAATGGTACCAATCCAAGCGAGTGACAATAGCGTAACACCCATAACTGTTACGAACTGTAAATATATTTCAACACTTTTAATGTAGGTACATTCATAAAGATATCAAACACATTTAACACTCACCAATGTAGATTTACGTTCCTTTGCTGAGAATAGATATTCATACCAACCGGTTAAAATTAATTTCAAATTACACAATTGTGTGCACACCCGCTCGAACTGTTCTTCTTGATTACCATTCCAGTTATCTGGACTAAACAGAAAACGAGACACTGATGGGTAAATGAAATCAATTGCCAATGCAAAAAGGCCCGCTAGTGCTAATGTTGTCACTGTAGACATATCCAATACCCATAACAATAAGTAAAAAGCCGATATTGTTGCAGCAATGATTGCTGGATAGTAATTCTTCTCCCAAGTTAAGACCGAATCTAATTGCACAATGAGATTACGCCATGGCTCCAAGTCATGCTTCAATTTGTTGAATGCGCGTTTCTGCAATTCCATATATGTACACATCGTAAAAACGTATAAATTTGATGTGAATTTAATAAAAGTCACACGAAAATCGTAACAGAGAAGTATTTTTAAAAATTAATAAACGAGTATATATGACGATGCATGTTTTACAATTCACAATTTCCCATAAGAATGACAAGGAAAAATCAATTTTTTATTTACCTGCTCAACCGACATTTTCGCTCGCTTGATATGGATTTTCACTGCCAAATGCAAGTTCTTACAAAACTGAGTGATATATTTTCACTTCTATGGTAAAATCAATAAATTTTTGTTGAAAATGCACTGCAAATAACCGTTTTACTCTTTTTTTCTGCCGAATGCGTTTTCTTTTGGATATGTTACCAATTTTACTGCGTTGCTTCTAATCTATGCGTCCTTTATGTTTGTGATTTCCAGTGTATTTGTTGTTGTTTCCCAAGAACCGTTCCCTTTGAATATCACAGGGATGACTCAAAAATTATTAGAGATGAGTGTATTTAATCGAATATAGAGGAGGATATAATAAGCAAATCTGATTTTTTCGGTAAAGAATATATTTGAATAAGAAGCTACAATACCCCTACGTTCTTTGTGAAAATACGGTAGAATCGGTCCCAGGAGTACGTATCTTCTTCACACACACCATTTTTTATTAACGAATATGAGTTGACATATGTTTGTTTATTAGTGTTTTCTTTTGTGATTTTCATCTCATTTGTTTTGATTTGTCAGCAGGTTTCGATAAAATTTCGATAAGAATTAGAAACATCGATTTGGCCGTAATTCGCATGGCAATTGAGAACTTTTAAATTCGTTCAAGAAAGTTTGTATGCCGAATTCAAGAATTCAGCATGTATTTGGAGTGCTGATTACGATTGAGAGAGCGAAACATGTAATTGGGCTGTCGTGGAAATGCCGTTAATTGTAGTTTCCGTATCGATTGGAACAGTATGAGTTGCCACCTATTTATCTGCACGCTCTACTAGGATTATGGCTTCCCTGTTTCGGGCATTTCCTTTATGCCTTTACGATACAAATGTCTGCAACTAAATAGTTCTGTTCAGTGAGCTGATAAACAGTGCCAAATGGTACCAACTTTAACTATCGCCTTCGGTGAAGCAAAAAGTCAGTAAAATTTACACTCAAAGAGCAAAGTTTTAACAAATCGTTATTGATAATTCTTATTGACATTTCTCAACGAACAGAGCTAATGACTCTGGTTGTAAGGATCAGAGGCATATTTTATATGACCGGGACTTTCGTTTGTGGTGTGCGCCGCGAATGCAGGGACGTATAAGCTTTTCTAAACCGCCTCCGAACGTGTTTTTGAAGAGCTTTCTTTTCATGTCGGATGGATGACATTTCAAGGGGCGACCAAGCCGTGCCAGCTTAGTATTGCTAATCACTTTCCGATTGAAGTCTAAAATTACGAATTAAATTCTTCTATAAAGTCAAACAAAATAAGTACAGCTCGTTTAATATTTAGAAACTTCAGATTTATTTCAAACAAAATCAACGTCAAAGGTTTATAAATGTTTGTTCTAATAAAAGTACAATAAAAATTAAAATTAATTTATTATATTCATGTTTTGTTTTTAACTCACTAGAACAACGAATTGTGTGCCAGTATCTGACGAATTGCTTAAATATGATAAATTTACAAAAAATTAAAATTAAAATAAGTTAAAAATCCAATCGAAGGGTGTTTGAAAAATATCTAATTTAAATCTAAAAGGTATTCCATGATATTTGACATTTTTATATGAATTTACATTTTCTATGTATAAAATGTTTATTCCTTTATGAACTAGATATTAATTTATGCTAATACAATGTACATTATAAGCAATACAGGAAACTGAACATGTGATATCTGCAGTCTTAGAGCCGAGCCCGCGTTTTTGGAATTTATTGTATGTTTAGTGAAAGCAATGCGTTAACTTTAGCTTTTGAACCTATAAGAAGTCTTGCAGTTACACGACAAAACTTATATTAAAATTCAAAGAAAAATTTCAAAAAAAAAAAGGAAATAAATTAAAACCAACTGGTAAAGCAATGGGCTTTTCGACTTCTTTGAGTTAAACGCGATAGGTGTTCCGAACAAGTTTTGATCACTCTTTGTTACTGCGATATTTTCATGTTAACTATTTAGGTTTTCTCTTCTTTTTCTTTGTTGTAACGTTCCAGCTCTTTAAGGAATTGAGCTTTTGGTTTCATCACATTTGGACGATCTCCTCGGCAATTCGGACAGAACCACTTGCCCTTCGGTTTCAGCACCAGTGAAACGCAAGAGAAGTGGAACCATTCTATGGGGCACAGGTCGTTATCGCAGAGTATCATTTCACCAAAAGATATCTATCAATTTAATAATAGCATCAATATACGCATGGGAAGATTATATTCAATTGTCACCATATAAAATATGTTACATACCTGATTGCACACACAGTATGTTGGTTCATCAGGATCAATTGGATCTGGTGGCGGCGTTTCTTCTCGTACGCTCGCTTGCGCTGAAGACTGCGCAGCTCGGGTTTTTCTTTTCTTTTTCTTACCCGTATTGTTGCTGCCACTACTCGTACCAGCACCGGATGTATTTCCAACTGCACCTCCACTTCCTGTGGCTTGAGCATTTTGTTTTTTCTGAGTTGCACCACTACCGACAATCGCTTTCTGTCCGGACTGTCTATCACTGCCTATTCCTCCATTACTACCGCCACCACCTTCATTGGCCGAATTAGATTCATTTCCTCCGTATTCGACATTACTGTTGTTTATAACCAACGTCTCATTACGCCTTCGCGAGCGTTTACTAGCAGAACGTTGGATATCCACACCAGATATGTTAAGATTTCCAGCATTGCTGCTACCATTGGCAGTACCACTGATATTTGTACCATTACTAGCATGGCTTGAACGCTCTGAATTTGGCGTTGAGCCACCACCACCTGTACCACTCGACAAACCACCTTAAGCATGAAATACAAAATAAATGATTTGGCATATTTGCATATAAATGAAATCAAATTACCATTTGCACAATATGTGTTATCACGTGTTGGACTTGAAGCTCTTGCTTGTTTCGCTGGTGTGGGACCTCCAATATCATCAGCCTGCTGTAATTGTTCAATTCTATTCTGTTGCTGTTGCATTTCCTCTTTTATATCTAGATTCTTTTGATCGGTATCAAGTTGTCTTGTTTTGTGATCAATAAGCTCTTGTAATAAATTTACTATTTGCATTTTTTCATCACCCAATTCCTGCGCTTGTATAAGGCTCTGTTGCATACGTGCTATGGCTCGAGCACGCCTCGTGCAATTCGCATCGCTGCCATTATTATTTTGCAATGAACGCCACAAATCGTAGTAGTGATCTACATCACGTAATAGGCCTGAAAACATAAAGTAAAAATATATATTAAGCCATCACATTTAAGAGTCGCCTAACCAAAAAAGGTTATGCACATATGTACGTTATCGAATGAAACTGAAATACTTACTCCTATACTGGACATCTATATCACGTATGCGGGACAAATGCCGTTGCACGTCGTCTGGAAGATTTTCCACAGAGTCAATATAATTATCAACGTACGTTGCCGAATACAGTAAAGCTTCAGTGGAAACGGGATTCAACATTTTGGTGCTGATAATTTTTCAGCTTTCTGGAACAGCATTAAACAAACTACTCGCATTCAATTTTCCTGTGTTACAAAAGCGATTGTTGCACTTTTATTTTACTAAACAAACAATTATCAATAATTGTGTTTGGAAATATACAAGGAAATATTTAAGTGAAATCGACAAACTTTTCCTAAATGCTGAGATGTTTAACAAATCTGTGTGTGGCGTATTTGTGGAACGTATCAGTGGTTCTCATTCGTCGACTGTACTATTATGTGGATTTTATTACCAAATTGTAATAGATTCCATAGAGTTGCACGGCAGCAGTCGTTGTGAAATATCTCAGAAACAAGCGGAATCCGTAATGCCTCAATAGCCGTTAAATACTGAAAATACATCGACAAACGATTCATGAAATAATACCGATTTATGATGACGATGACGAAATATAATCGATTCATTTCTTTTATCAATTAGTAATCGCGCTTCGCCAGCCATTTCGCCGGTTATTTGATTTCATTCACTTTGCGTCTTTTGTACCATCCGGTTGCTAATTTATTATCGTTCATTCGTTATTTCGCTTTTATCCGGTTGTATTCCTTGTTTGGTTGCATTTCATTTCGTAGTACCGCTACATTGTAAAGCAATTTGTGAAGTTTGCAACTCTGCAGCAGAACAATTTACATTATTATATATATATACATATATATCTATTTATATATATACAACAATACCAATATAGTGTTATATACAAAATAAATCAAATTTATCTGAAGTGATAATTATACGTTAACGTGCGCGAATTTTATCGTTTTCATAAAAACTGAATTCTCTTTACACGTCGTCTATATATAAAAAAGAAAGAAGCATCATTATGAGCAGCAGCAACTTTGCCGGCATCACCGACAACAACAAGCCCACTAGCAAGTAAGTAATATAAGTGTTTTCGGTATTAAGCAAAAAAATTCTTGTTCCTTCATTAATATTTGCAATTTTATGTATTTCAAGTAATTGCTGAAAGTGCATAAGTAGTTATTTACAATACCTACACTTGTATTGCCGTGCAAAAGTGAGCGTAGAAATGTATCTGTCAGTCACGCTGCGCAAAGGCTGTTTTACATCCTTTTACACTACTTTTGGCAACACATGCTTGCTTTGTAAAGGAAAACATGATAAATAAAGATGTATGCGGCTGCGCAGTTCCTCTTTCGTTGTATTTATCCATATATACATATATGAATGTATGTATGTTTTAAAATATGTTCCGAGGCAGCATAATAAGAGAAAATATGAATAAAGAAGGTGTACGAAAACATAAATACATAACAGGATAGGCGGCAAACCCTGTTGGAAATTTCGATGTATAATAATTTTAGTGTAATACACTTAAGAGAATATTTTCTAACTGGCACACATACAAGTATGTATGTATATACCTTTAAAACGAAGTTAGGTCGGTAATTAATTAATTATAAGAAAAACAATTTTCTATTAAAATTGAACTTTTTACATATGCAAAAATGGATTATTCTATTAATTGACTGTATGCGTATCATTGTTGTTGTTGTTGTTGTAACCGCAAAAATATTCCTCAAAGTATTTTTGGGTGAATGTTGCTGAAGCGACAGTCCTTGGCCGGAAAAAAATCCGAATCGTTCCAGTATAGAAACCCGACTGTAGCGGGAACTATTGGATTGTAGTCGCCTCTTACGACAGGCATGCCTTACCGCGGGTAAATTCTTGAACCCCTAACCAGCAGGGGGGTATTTTATAAACACCTGCAGTTCAAAGACCTTTAAAATTAATCAGATGTCTCTTAGAGGTCCGTAAGAATGCTTTTTTTTAACCATTTTCAATTATTTTATGAAAATCAACTATGTATTATCAAATATAAATACATAATTGACAGATATACTTATGTATTGTACATATGTATATACTATGTATATGAAAATACTGACGAAGATGACAAAGAAATATGTATATGCATATGTATGCATGTATGTACACATAGGAATTGCATTTCCTTGCATTCATTAATCATTATATATACATACATACATACGCATACATATTCAAATAATAAATATATTGTTTATACCTACATCAGCAATTTTTTTTTTAACTAAAACCGGCATTCTTCAGCATTTCTTATCGCAAAATTCGTAAAATATAGAACGTTCCGCTGCGTTCCAATTACTTGTTATTATTTTCCATTTGCGATTAACAAGAACAATATGGCAAGCGATAAGTTGAGTATATTGTGAGTTAGCAAGCAGCTGATACAATTCATATGTGTACATACATACATACATACATATACTATATTGTTGTTAATATGTTCATTTCCTATTGTTGTCGTGCCATGTGCTCTAACTATTCGGCAATGATTACTCGTTCGCCGGCAAATGTAAATAAATGTGCGTATTTGTATGTATGTATGTTTTTAATTACAAATAAACAAAAAGTGTGACTGTAAACTATAATATTTCCAAAGAGAGAAAAGTCCGTTGGATTTCGATTCAAAAACTTGAAGAGACAAAAAAAAAATATAAGAATAGTGTGAAGTGAATATATAATAAAATGTACATATTTACTCTATATATGTATGTATGAAATCCACGAATTCATGTACTTACCTACTTTTTCGATATTTCGTTATTGCTCCCTCTTCCTAAAACTTTCGGTTTCCGTAAGGTTATGTTTCGAGTTGCTCTTTGTATGTTTTTTTTTTTATCTTTTTTCTTACTCTCTTTTATTTAAACAAACTTCGTTCGGTGGCAATTTTCACACTAATTTCAAATTAGCGAACGTTGGCGTGGGGGAGTGATCGCATATCGGTGATTACGTAGTGGGCGTTAGCGTAATTGCCGCAATTCACATTTATTTGCAAAAAAAAAAAAAAAATCATACCTACATATACATAAGTATATAACACATATACCTACATATGTACATATAATACATATAGACAAAGCTCAAAAACTCGATATTACTTACAAATGTTTTTCTGTTGTTAAGTAAATCGTATGACCGACATTTTGTTTCTTTTGTTTTTGTTTTTCTTTGGTGGTGGACATACTTTTTTTTATACTTCTCTTATTTTTAGTTTAACCATTTTTGTGAAAAACGGATTTTTTGTACACTTTTTTTTTCTCTTTTTTCGCATGCCTTTAAGCTTTTCGCAAAGACTACATTTTTTTCTCCAAACACCTCTCAGTGTATAGACACTCGAACACTCAAGCACAAAGCAGCTGCTGAATAGTGTTGTTGTTTGTATGTTTGTATACACATATGTATGTATGTACTTACCGATTTCTACTTATTTCCACAATTCCTTTCGTTGGTTGCCCTCTTTGATTGTTTGACTGTCTTTGTTGTTATTGTTTATATCGGTGCTTGTCACCATGCAGCGGTGGTCTTCGTTCCATTACGATATTGGTGTTAAAAATATTGAGTCATTATGATGAGTTTAATAGACATAGACCTACATTTTCTGATTCATAAGTTTGTAGAATTTAAAAAAAAAATCATCAACTCTCTAAAACTTTGAGAAATCCCAATAATACTGATTACAATTAGTGCAGAAATTAAACCAGATACGAAATATGCGGCTCACTGTTTAAACTATGGTGGCTGGCAGTCACACTGAGGAATGTACTCAGCGCAGCGCCTTGCATTGCGTGCCGCTCTCTCTGGATTCACTGAGCTATAATACGTACATACATATGTATGTACTTAAATTAATGTTACCTGTTGACTTAAATGGGGTTAGGTCTAGGTCGCCGAAAGAATGACAGCCCGGGTCAACTATGTGCAACAACCTCTGGATAGGACGACGTACAGACAGGTACTGAACGGAATTCACCAGGAGTCAGTCAACACCTTTAAAAACTCCCTTCCCGTGAATGGCGTGCTCGGAGAAAAACCAACCACCCTTAGCAAACAACGAGCTCGAGTTATCTCGAGAGACCCGCGTGAGCTTTGCACAACTTAAGTCTAGATACTGTAGTAGGTTAAACTCCAACCTGTCCAGACTCGACCCCTCGTCCATGCCACCGCACAACTTATTATAGTACGACGGAAATGTTGAGCGACTTGTACAGTTAGGTATTTCTTCGGCGAGAGAGGCTTTTTCCTTTCAATTGCTTAATCAGTTCAAAACAGCAGGTGTCTTTTCTGCCTTCGATTTAAAGACTAACTTTGTTGTTGGTCTTAATACTGATTCCAAGATAGACAAAATTCTCTGCCACTTCAAAATTACGACTGTCAACCGATTCCCGAATGCTGTGACTATTTGTTTGATGATAGGTGATAATAACTCGTCTTGTCCTTGCAATCTATTGGACCGCCGCTTTGTGATTTTTCTTGCGGGCGATTGCTATTCAAACTTCTTCATAGTCGGACAATGAAACATCTGTTCCATCGTCATTGATTGGGGTGTTTCCTGGTGTTCTGGCAGTACAGAGAAGTCTTCCCTCCATTAATTCAGTATACTCTGGGTATCAGTTACTAGATCACCTCTGTAGGTCATACAAAAGTTTGCTCTTGAGACCTTCTATAAGTCTCCGTACAATATCGAGCATTACCTTTGTCTTAAGCTCTTCATACTTACGCTTTCCGGTCTTTTTTTTTTTGCCTGTAAATGCGTCTTATTTCTCTCTCCTAAATTTTTTGTATCTATCTCATCCCCCTTGTGATCGATTGTAAGGTTGCGAGATAGGCAGCCTGTTTTCTCTCCCTTCCAATCTAATTATACCTGCTGTTTTTTTTTTGACCTTTTCGAAAATCAATAGTTACATTTGCAGCTGTATGTAGCGCGCTTGAAATGCCGTCCCACAGGCTCCTGCCGTTACCGAGTTGGTAATGGGTGCTCTTAGAGAGCCGGTCTGCGAGTCGAACAGAAAACCATTCGGCGGTATGTTGTCATTACATCTTCTGGACGTCGAACCTTGTTTCCTTGTGTTTGTTGGCGGGCATTCTTTCAAATGCAGCCAGGAACCTCTATGAATTTTCTTGATCGACCAGCCTCAAATCAGTTAGGAAGGTTCCGTCGTAAAGGCTGAACTTCCCGACAATTGTGTTGAAAATATCTTCTATTGCCCACTTTGGCCTTGAGGTCATGAGACATCGTGGTGGGATCTCAGAGTACGCTTCAGGTGCTCAGAAAAGGCATACTTGGTCTCCTCATCCTTCTCTTCCGTAGACATTTGACTGGATCAGAATTTTTTCACTCAGTTGTCAACATATCCAGCTACATATTATTTTTAGTGGAATGTTGCAGTTAATATTGAAAATCGAACAGCTGATCACTGTACTAACACGGATGAGAAGTGTTTTTTTGGAGAGAATGTTAGAAACAGAGTTGCATTTAAAACCAATAAATAAAAAATTCTGTGAGGAAATTCCTT